ATTTCTCGTGGCGCAAAAGTTCTCAAGGAAGCAGGTGCGTCCTGGCGCACTTGTTATCCTATAGTGCGGACCTCCTTATCCAGCATCAGAGCATTCGTCTCAATAAGTCATTCATTTCCGAGTGGCACTCATACATGTCGACGCTTCCCATGGGCAGCTAATCTTCCAAGCAGAGAGTCCCAAACCTTTGCCATTGACACCATACGTAAGCTTGACCGTCATGAGTCATCAACTGCCAATTGCGACAGACGTTGGATGTCAACGCCACGATAGATCCGAAATGATAAATGATGTTCTCTTTTCAAACGCCGTAGCCACATGGGCCATAGGCTTAATTCCATGATTATGTGGCTTGTTGCACAAAAAAGTCTAGCTGCGGCGGTATCGAATACTGCAGTACCACGTGGTATGATTATATTTATGGCATGATTCTAAAACTACCTGCTTTTCCAAGTTCACGAGACAACTTGTTACTAGCTGCAACATTCTGTTTTTCTATGATTTTCTGGGCTTAATGTCCATCGTGTGTGGCTAAGGGCGCATTGGTGCGACACGCATGTTATATCTGCATAATATTGTGAACTTTGAGCACGATCTGCTCTTGCAGAGGTACAAGGGAATCAACCTTACATGTCGTACGTGCAGAGGTGCAGCCCCATGGAAGTTGAAGCTACTATATTGACTGTACGTACTCAGGCATGGTAATTCAGTTTAACTGCAATAGTCGTAATTGCACACCCTTCAATGATACCATGCTACCTAAATTCGATGGTTATATTCTTATATAGTACGGTACATACACTGTAACTTCGGGTTTGCATATAGCCATGGAAACGACTTGTAGCTGCATATTGAGTGCAAGTTGTGGAGTCAAAAACAGTTTTTTAGCCTTGCCGAAGACTGTGCTTCTTAAGGGGCCATAGCGGTTGAGGGCATTAAACAATAAGCAGTTACCATGAGATTGGCACACCAAACGGCAGTCGGATCGCCTTTTGAGCTTTAATTGGCGAGTCCCCGGGCGCCTCAATGGGGACACTGTAATCCTATATCGACTATATTATAAGGGCCGATACGATTATAGATTTTGACAGGTGGGCGATCGTATCACAGTCCTGAAGTTGAGTAAACAGGAGGACAGAAGGAACGACAGGCCGAAGTCATCAAGTCAAAACGAGGTCAAAACTCAAGACAGTGCCTAGTGCAACAGTGCACCGCGCCGGGAGACCGCAAAAAGAAGCGATTGTGCGGGGACTCGAACCCCGAGTCTCTTGCTGTGTCCACGGATGTAACTCCGACCGGAGGCAAGCGCCTTATCCATTAGGCCACACAATCACGAGTCTTGAAGGTGGACGATGCAAGAGCAGATTACACAATCTATGTACAAAGCGGTACCTACCGGGCTGAGCATGATATGGTGGGCAGTCACCCAGAATAATCTGATCGTGCTCCACAGCCTCCACTTGATTCGAATCTGCGATCTTGGATTGTCTCCAACTGGTTTGAATATGTAACCCACCCGTGAAACAGACTAAAGTTTCGTCGAGACGTCTAGAAGGTTTCAGATTCAACGGGGAATGCTGCCCAGCCTGTCTCGCCGACTGCCCTTCGGCATCCCTCTAGAAGGGCCTCCGGTCTCCAGTTTAGAGGTTGAAACTGGTGTCCCAGAGACTTCGTTTGTCAAACCGCGATAAATTCCACGTGCTAAACCGGCTCGGCCAGCTCAGTCTTGCACCTGCAGCCTGCCCGGTCCCACATGGCTGCAGTTGACCATACGGACCGTCGAAAATTAACCCCCGAACAGAACGCCGCGTATGGCAGGTACGAACACCAGGATGTCTGTGTAACGCTGAAACATAGTTTGTGCTGAAGCGTTACAGTGCTTGCGCCATCTGAGAACTTGACAATGCTGCGCGACCATTCATTCATGGTGCATGTACGGGCAGCGGTAACCCGTGGAAAGCGGTGCAGGTGACAGCGAGGTCACCTGTTTCCAGGGCGCCTTCTTCTGTATTTACGGGAAGCTGCTTCCATCAAATAGTCACAAATTTGTTAGCCATTTGAGTTGCAGGCGCCTCTCCTTCGCGTCCTTGCTCCTTTCGACATCAGCGCTTCGCGTTTTGTCGCTGGTCTTCATCGGAAAAGAGATGGCTGACCACCAAGGCCGCAAGGGGATGGAGTCCCGCGACGTGCCCTTCAACCCGCCTACCGGTCCAGTGCTCTGCCGCAATGGGTGTGGCTTCTTTGGGTCTGCGGATACTGGCATGATGTGCTCCAAGTGCTTCAAAGAGACGGTGCTCAAGCAGTCAAAGCAGAAGGAGAGCACGGCTGTGGATACGGAAAAGGCGGCTGAGGCCCCTAAGACGATGGATGTGGATGTGACCAAGAGCAGAGTGGAGCAGGAGGAGTCTGGAGCAGTTGCCAGGTTGTTGGACCAGGGGGGAGCTTCGGAGAGACCGCAGGAGAGCACTCCCTCTGCAAGCGGACAGGCTCCTGAGCAGCAGAAGCCGGCGAATCGGTGCGCATCCTGCAAGAAGCGCGTCGGTCTGACGGGGTTCAAATGCCGCTGCGGGGACACTTTCTGCTCACAGCACCGCTACTCAGACAGGCATGAGTGTCGATTTGATTACAGGAAGCTCGGTCAGGATGCGATTGCCAAGGCAAACCCTCTGGTTGTGGGAAGCAAGGTCGACAGGATCTAGCAAGTCAAGGGTGACAGCAGGTCCATTCATTTGAGGCTGGCGAAGGGTCCAAGCAAGGTGGGTCGGTGGCTTCCTGCCTTGGGACAGGACTGTAGCTGGTCTTCCTGGTTAGTTGTCCACTTGTAGTGCCAGATGCAGATATGTAGGTAGGAGCAGTTAGACGTAGACAGGTCAAGTTAGCGGTCTTGAACTCTCACAGGATGCTTGTAAAGTACTTTGCTCGATCATTAGAAGCATGCTACAGACATTGATATCATTGCCGACCGGCCAAATCGGTGTTTATGAGCTGCATATTGCCATCTGTGTCATGTTTGTGCATGGGTGCATGTCTCAGGCTGCTTGTCAGCCAGTATTGCTGCCGTCAGGGTCCTTTAGCTCATTAGTTGTAGTTTGGGTTTCATCTGAGCTTGGCACTTACATGGAGTTCTTTTACCTCCAAAACCCTAGTTTGGTGCTTCTTGGTTGGACTATTATATCAGTCTTTGTCGCGGTTTCATTCTAAGTTGCAGGTTGCAAGGTCAAAAGCCTTTGCGTGAGGGGTTTTCAATCTTGCCCCAGGATTCAACAGCAGCTAAGGGTCGAGTAGCTTGTCGGGTGTTGACTCATTGGCCAGAGACTTCTCAGACTTCTCTTCTCTTGTTTTGCTCAGCTCTTGGGTCCGGGTTTCTACTTGAGGCTTGCTGGTTGCTTATTGCCGGTGGAGTTTTGAGAGGGTCGGGCAGCTGGGAGTCTAGCTGTTGTATTGTATTTTCTTTCTGGCTCTCTTGTACCTCCTTTTTCCTGTGAACACATGAGTTATGTTGCCCTTCGTTAGCCAGCGCATAAGGTTTAGCACACATCAGCTTCAGTCCTGGCATCTGACCAGGAGCAGAGTCCTGGAGCTCTGAGCATGCTCAGGAAAGGAAGCAGCCCAGAGTTTTGTCGGCGGAGTTGTGCGGAGCATTGTTGTTCTGGGCTTTCGGCTTGATCTTCCTTCAATGATTTCTTCGGGTTTTCTTTTGGGGTCAAGACATGTGGGAAAAGCAGACCGTGGTTTGTGCTAAGGGGTTTCTGCTTTGTCCGTTTTTTTTTTCCCATGTCAGGCAAAGCCCCTGCTCTATGTTGTGCAGAATCTGAGATTGAGCCTTTGGAAGTACTTTAAGCAAACAATAAGCATGCTAAATTGCTCTGAGCAGACGTTAAGCATTTTGGTCCTGCCTTGCTGGCGGTCTTGCCCTGACTCTTGCGCCGCGAATGCTTGGGTTATCGTTGCATCAAATTTTTATTGTTCTTCCTCTGCTTGTTGTCCTGCTCGAGGTCTGGCTGTGTCTTCCCTTTCAAAATTGAACCAAAGAAATAAGCTTGGGAGGGTACTTTCGCAAGCTTGAATATGCGGATCTTCATGCAGCTTTAGGGTCATGATTCTTCAAACTTTCATCCATTGGCAATCCGTATGTGTATCTATGCTCCGCTTTTGACGATCAATAGAATGCTTCTTGGCTGAGTTTTTCTTTCATGATCTCATAGCTGCAATTGTCGGTCCTGACTTGAGCTAGCACCTTACTGAGGTTAGTTGTTTCGGTCGTCACATTCAATGTGAGAGAAGCGACTTTCAGTACATGCATAATAAATTGAATTCACTTGCGACTCCCATGGGCGCGGCATGGTGCTTTTTGTCGCGTTTGTCGTGTCTCTCAAACATTGCACGCCGTGACGTGCTTCAACCTGAATGGGCATGGTCTTCTAAGTCTACTGTCAATAATTCCCCGGCCCTATAGATGCAATTCAATCATTCTGCTACACCTAAATCTAGCTCAGCTGCACCTCATGCGCGACCATGACCAATCATTTCTTATAATCACTAACAAAAAGCTATAATATACACTGTGTGCGCATCATTGAATTCCTGCAGAAAAAATAACTGTCCATATATGCACATGACATACATATTGGGCATGTACATCCGGCAGTAATCCAGTGAAAAAAAGACCTTGGCGAAAAGCGCGCGAACGGTGGCCGCCACCAATGAATGGCGCATATGTAGGCTCAATTATGTCACATACATGGCCAGCAGCGCGGCCTGCAGCTTGTTAAGATACTCCGCTATTGGACGTCGGACACTGTGGCAAGCTACGAGTTGTATGCAGATCTACCTGCGGTCACATACAAGCTCGTATATATGAGGACCCGATAGTCGGAATTTTGATCTCAGAGGATGAATTCAGTTCTGCATACACTAAATCGAGGGTAATTTGATAAGCGAGTCAAATCATGGCATGGAATTAAGCAGTGACGGCCAATAACTGGCCGCGTCCAATGGTCCGACACTGACACCGGAAATAAGGGATAGAGCAGCCTACGGCTTTAATAGGAGCTAAGTTGGCCCTTGCAAATTGGCTGAGACACGCATGTCCGCCTCATTATGTATCTCCGCCGAAGCCCCTTAAAAATTGCGAGCCTGATCAGAAACGTGTTCGCCGCAACTGGACAGCGGGCTCCTTGATTGCTAAATTTTCGATCACCGTCTAAGCCGTTGCATCTCTTGTTCCAGCTTCTCGATCTCGGCGGTGAGGCCCTCCATGTCGGGTACTCTCTTTGTCCCCCGGGCAGTCAGCTGGGCGAAGCCGCCAGCGACTAACCGCTCGGGGCTTGCTGGCAAGGACTCCTGCGCACAAACATCCTTGTGTCAAGCATCCAGACCTTCGTATAAGCGCGCAGCAAATCGACCTTTACAACAGAGCTGAAGCGACGCCTCCTATCCTTGGCGAAATAATTGAACCGTGGTACATTGATAAGAGTGATGCGTTCCGTTTTATCCAGAAAACGAAGAGGCCGCTGCTCCTGCTTTCCCACTCCAAACGCTTCCCGAGCGGAAGACAGACACGTGGCGTCCCAGTTTCTATAGAAGATCCTTGGACACGTCGCTACTAACCCTGCCGCCAATCCAGGGGCAAAGAACATCCCGACCAAGCTAAAAGGCCGGACTCTCCAGAATCGCACGTTCGATACTTCAACTCGAGAAAGGAGGAGTCTAATATGCACCTATGTGCGATCGAAAAGATCCTAACACGTTGTCAATGATACTTGCATAGGTCGACCTACGAGTGATGATGACGGGGTGATGACGTCAGCAGGGCTCCCTTACCTCTCGAGAGCCCCGCACCCCATCCACCTGGTATGACAGCCGTGCGAGGAAGCCGGCCCGCGGACTGCAACAAACCGGTCAAAATCAGGTTAAGCATGACGACTCTGAGTAAGATACGATCACGGGCCCAGCGGGAAAATGGGTTTGCTACCGGGAATGAAGAAGATTTAACAAAGATCTGCAGGAGGCATCTATGAACTGTGATGACACTTTGAATCTATTTTTAGAGGGCCTGCCAAAGGTTAGGTTGCTGAGGCGCAGGCACTGCTCTTGATGAAAAATGTTTGTCCACGAGCATTGACAGTTGAACACCGCGAAGAAGCAGTCGCAACGGGCATGTCGACCAAACCCTGACCGTGGGACACAGTGTGAGTGTCTGCTCCGGGTGTTGCAGTCCCCTCTTTTCCCGGTCCTGTGTCCTGTATCAACCAAATGTCTGAAGACTATTCTCAAGAGGTGCGCGAGCGCTCCGTTGACGCCTCAAAGAGTCACACAATCTTCAACGTTACTTGAATCTGATGCAAAGAGCCTTCTTCTGACGAAATGTTCTGAAGGAGTCTAGACGAACGTGCGAAAGTCCTTCTGAACATCTTCAATACGGATGCGGCATGATCCGACAACATCACCGTAGCTAGCTGGAAGACTTCATTTCTTCTCCAAAGTCTTGGAAAGGAACTGGAGCGTCGCCCCAAAGGGCCAGACTCTAACGGGATACGCTTCATTCCAACGATTCTTTCACTCCCGACGCCGGAGGGGAGAACGGATTCTGCGAATGGAACAGTGCTGCACCTGGCTTTCTGGTCGCCTCCACTGCCCACTTCCACCAGCTCCTCGCCTTCGACGTCGAAAGCGGCCGCCTCAAACTGCCCCTCCACGCCTTCGACGTCGAAACCCTCGTCACCGCCCCGGCCTTCCGCCTCTTCCGCCGCACCCGCCTCAAAGTCATCTTCATAGTCGTCCTCCAGAACGGAGTCCCTCTTCGCAACTCCGTCCCTGCTGACGGGGACAGGCGCACATGCTGACACGTGGCTCTCCTCCCCAGTCACTACCGCCCACTCCCCCTGCGACTCGCTCAGGAAATCCCTCTGATGCTCAGCCAGCAAAGGGTTGGCTACAGTTCGCGCCGAGATCTCGGTCAGCAAAGCCTGCCGGATCCGCTCTTGATCGGCAATCTGAGCAGTCAGATCGGAGGCCTTGCCAGGATCCATCCTCTCGTCTTTAGCCTCCGAGCTCTTCCCATTTTCCCTGTCTCTTCCCTCGCCCAAATTGTCGTTACCAACCAGGGTTAGCCCCTTCAAAGCCCGCGCTAACCCGCCCTCGTCCTCCGACTCGCCGGTGCGACACGTGTCACCCTCCTCTTGGCTGCTGACGTCAGACGCGCGGCTCCCCGTGCTGCGAGCGGAGTCCTTCCCTCTCCTCAGCTTTCCGCTGCTCCTCCGCCGTGCCGCTGCGCTTCCGTTCAGGCCGCGGAGCGTCTCCTTCATCGCGTCTAGCGAATTGTTGAGCCCGGCTATCTCCTGCTGAAGGGCGGTGCCAAAATCGTTGGAAACTTCGCTCCGTTCCGTTGAAGATCCGCTTCCGTCAAGGTTCCGTTGCAATAAGATGGTCGGAAAGCTGCCGGCTTGCCGTTCAAGAGCAGCCTCCTCGCTGGCGGTCAGGGGCTGGTCGATTCCGCTCGACGGGGTCCGGATCAGGAACTCTGCGGAATCCGCCTGGTGCACCGGAAACTCCTGCACAGGGATAAAAACACGGTCTGTTTGTTGCACGACATAAGGCAGGCTAGAGAAACCCGGGCAAACAGAAGGTATGGGCCCCAATAGGTGATCGGTAAACTATTCTCTGTATCTCGTGCCTAATGCACATAACTACTTGGTAGCAATATGAGAGAGAGAGCGCAAAGACGAATTGTACTGCTGGAATTCAGAGGCATGCTGGAAGTGAATTGCACACCTGCCGTTAGTCTGCTGCAGCGCTTTACTAGGATGACGTTTGTATCGACGGAGGCAAGGCAACCCGACGACACCGCCAAGATTTGCACTGTATCGCGTTCCCAAACTGGGACACATTTGGCCCGATGCAGTCAAACGTGGACTTTAAAGATTCTCATAGGCCGGAGGCGCATTTGAATCTTTTGTTCGCACCTCCTCGCACTGTTCCGTATATCTGCGCCTCGCCGATAAGCTCTCGGCCTCCCCATCCTTTGGGGGATCCCCCTCCGAGCCCACTGCAGCTCCCTCGGTTGCGCTCAACAATTCACCGACCCCTCCCCCAAACCGCAGGGAGTGCCGCGCCCTGTGCGCGAGCGCGAACCCCGGGGTGCCACGTGGCCGTGGGATCTTGGACGACGGCAGTCGCCTCACGCCTTCCGGCTGACGTGGGCTGACGTCACTCGTCGGCACGTCTCCCCCGTCCGCTGTCCCGTCACTTGGTGACTTCTCGCCGTCCTCCGCACCCGCTTTCCGCGCCGGCGCTTCTTTCCTTCCAGGTGCCACGCTGGCAGCTGACGTGACATCACGCACGGCCGAACCCGCGGAGCCCTTATGATCCTCGGGTTTTCCGCCGGTTTGCTGTAAACCCGCAGGCCGTTCCGCCTTTTTCGCTTCTTCAACAGCGGGCCGATCCACCGGCATCGCGTTCAGCAGCTCGCCCTTTGCCTGCAGCGGCGCCCGCGCCTTGCCGACGTCACTCCTCGCCTTGCTGACGTCACCGGCCTCCTTGCTGACGTCATCGCTAGCGCCGGCGGACTTCCTGGACAGGCGCGGCTTGGGTCGCAGCGGCCCGACGGGCTCGTTGGGGATGACCAGCAAAACAGGCTCTTGGTTTTGTTTCCGTTTCTGCGTTTGGGTTTGGGTTTGGTTTCGGGTTTGAGGTTTTTGGGCAGGGGACGTTTTCTTTGGGAGGGGGGCAGCGGGGGGCTTGGCTTGGGGAGTGGCGGAAGGGCGAGTCGGGCGCGGCAGGGGGTCCCAGGATACAGAATCTGCAGAGAGTATTGTGACGATTAGGAAGGTCTGCGCAGCACACGAGGTTAGTTATCCCCCACTGCGTTGGTTGCATCTATTGAGCGGCCGCGCAAAGATTGAATACTCGACTCCCCGTCGAGACGAGTCTCAATTAGTTGTTCCAACGTGCGCGAATAGTCGATGTTGGAGCATTCACCAAACCTACCGTTTGAAGGAGGCCGCTGACGTCAGAATCCTTGTTTTAAGGAAACTTTCAACACGAGCTGACTTCTGACCTGCTAGCAAATAGTTCCCTGAGGAAGAACCCCTACGATTGACGACAACTTTTCTGCCTTCTCCTCGATCTAAACCCAGCCGTCGACATCAGACAATCAGGGATCCGTTCGCTCTAAAAGGGTTCGCTTTTCAAGTTCGCGTCCTCGCACAAACAAAATCGTCTCCAGTACTCCGCTCACCTTCGAACCCAGCAAACGTCTTCCTTCTCTGAGGGGGCCCTGTCGGCAGCTCGTCGAAGTCAAACCCCGCCCCAAAATCGCCCACCATGTCATCAAGAGGGCCTTTCCACGCCGGCTTCTCGACGACCTTTCCCGGTTGAGATGCTTTCCCACCGTTGGCTGCCCGTTCTAGTTCGGCGATAAGCGGAGCGCCGGGCGCGAGCTTGTCCAAGGCTCTCTTCTTTGCCTCGGGACATGTGTCAGCACGTGGGTTTGCCACGTGGGCGGATAGCGGTTCGCTTGGGGTGCTGACGATTGAGGGGCGGCGGGAAGGGGAGACTGAGGCGGGGGTGCTCTTGGCAGACCTCGACGAAGAGCCTAGGGGAAGGTGCGAATCACGCTTTGAATGCAAATGGGGTCTGAACCGCGTGTCAAAATAGGCTTTTTGATCATGCACGCAGATTGGAAAAAGATCGAAGGGGAAATACAAAAACCACGCCCGAAAGTGCGAAGTCTCATACAACCCAATCACACGTTCGCTTGTCGTGTAGTGGTCAATGTGCTTTCAATAGTCTCGTGATTTCTTATGATCCTGCATGGAGGCATTACGAAATCATCGATATGCTGGACTCAGCTGAATTTTCCAAAAAAGAAAAGTTACGCGGAGGTTACAATTGATTGGTGAAAAGGTCAAAAGTATGGTTGCAGAGACGGTTGCTGCGCCTTTCTCAAGCATCCCGCTGCACTGGCAGTAAATGATCGCTGTTAGTCTTTTCTGGGGTCTCCATCTAGGGAGGCATTAATCTGATCTGAAGGGAATAGCACCGTTCTCAGCCTCTTTGACCGGCTGACTTACCACCATGGCAAACCCGAATCTCGTGACTCCTCTCTCTGACGAGCCGAGCTCGGGTTTCATGAACCGCTGCTTGTTTTCCTTACGGACACGTGTTTCAGCTCAAAGCTACTGATTCCGCGCCTCCCTGGCTATGCGAACTAAGTGCAGTTAGCGTCCCTCACCTGTCTTTCCAACCAAGGTCGGCTTGGCCCGCTGAATCTTGCGTGCCATCACTTTGAGAAGTTGCTCGTGTTCCCTGCACCGAAGCATCACCCAAGTCTGATGGGAAGAATAGAGAGGGAGTTGCACCCAAGCTTTCAGCAGCTTGGTTCGTCAGTCCATTGAAAGGTTCAACGAACTTTCAAGAGTACATTTTCATATAGAAAGTGGGTGCATGAAATGAAGTTTCAACTTTTATGGAGCAGGCAATCGAGCCTTGGGATACTTAGCAGACGAGTTCCGTCAATTGACTTTCTTGAAGGCATAAGAGAAGGGCACTGAGTGCAGGGAAAGGAGGCCAGCACTAAATGACTCCAGCTAGGATCTACGGACCAGGTTTGTGGGTTGCTGAGTGGCAGCAATGGGCACTGCAATTCAGATGTCTGACACCATTTCACAATCTGGTCGTTTAGTGCCAGTCGTTGTTATCACACCAAATGCTGGCATTCGCCGTAAGGGTCACAATGACCGAGATGCTCTGAGCTTGAGTCGAAGGTGTTGGCTGAAGAGTTACAAGGCCTTCTCAGAGAACTGGTGATGGAACGAAAATCAGAACTAGTGGCAGAACAAGCTGAAAGTAGCAGTCCTGCATGACTGAAATCAAAAGGCCTAAGTGGGGGTCTTACCATTTCTCCACAAGTCGGTTGATGACCTTCTTGGGTCGACCCACCATGGTTGCAGTACTGTCCTCCCTGATCTAAGGTGCCAACTCTGGCTGCTTGATCGAAAAGAGGTCCTCGTCCTCAAACCATCAACTTGACGGCAGGCTGCTAGTAAGGGGCCTTCAAACCAGTCACATGCTCCTCTCCTAACATGTAATGCTGTATCCTGATGCGGCTGTGCTTGGATTTCCAAGCTCTCAGATGTACAATCTGTTCAGAAACACTCGCAAGACAGCATTTGCCCATTCCTTGCAAAGACCACACTAGTTGGTGCAGACAGGAGCTGCCTCCTTGCACGGCAAATGGCCTGACAGCATGCACTGTGTTGCATTCTAACAAATACTAAGCCTTTGACAACAGCAGCCCGGCTCTTCTTGCAGAAGGTACGCGCAACGACATCATGACATGCAGAGGGAGTTCCATGACATGCTTTTCCTGGAAGCAGCATTGTCTGGACCCTGACTCGACCAAACCCTAATTTTCAAGTGTGGCAACTTGCTTTTAAGCTTCAAGGTTCGACGAACAAAGTGGCTTGAGGACTTGGACATTGCGAAAGACTTCGTTTCCAGGGGCGGCATTGGCGGTCTCCATGTGGCTTCCTGGACGCGGCCAAGAAGGGATACTAGAGATAAACGCCATGAATCATTGGGATTGATGGATGGAGCGCCCTCACCAGCGCCGTTTTATCTGGATCGCCGCGCGCGTGCAAGGGATTTCCCTTGCGAGCTTAGAGTAGACTTACATCGGCACGGTTAAACGGTTAAATGGTTACTTTTTCCAACGGCACGGTTGAACAGAGATTGGCGCGAAAGCGCTCCGCCGGTCATCGGCTGCAGCCCCTTGGAAGAAGCAAATCTGCAAATCTTGGATGAGGCAGTACTGTACCATGTAGAGTTTGGGTACTGATAGTGTACTGAGCAGACTTCCGCACCGTCCGATCAATTCGTTCCCCCCACGCGGCGGGCCCAGATGGAGTAACGGTGTGCTGTTGGCCCCAACCCGCCTCGACGAGGCGGGTTGGGGCCAACCGGACGGTTGGTTAATTATCGTGGGGGGTTGCGAAGAATCCACCCAGGTGATGCGTGAAGTAACCGTGCGTAAAAGTAACCGTGCCAATGTGCGGTCCGGTTGCAATTAACTTCTAACAGTAACCGTGCCGATGTAAGTCTACCCTTATATTCTACAATTTTGCAATTCGCGGGCACAGTCCACGCAAAGACTTGTAACGCTTGCCCTCTTATTGTGTGAAACGTTTCCATGACTTGTCAGCAGGCAACATTTTCCTAGGACCGATAAGTGATGCTGAATCGAGCGCTGATGGTAATACCGTACCGTACCGGCATGGGAATTCAACTTTTATTATTTTGGGGTCAGTGTGAAAAAATAAAACTAAAGATCACCCCGACTTTGAAAAGGTGAAACCACAATTTTCATAAACAAAAGTTCATTCGGGGATGTTTTGAGTGTGGATAAAGCAAAAAAACCGCTTGTGTGAAATGAAAAATATATACTCAACGCGCCCGGTGAAACCTCAGGATGAACGAAATTAAGTTTTCACACCAAAAGGTGGTGAATTCCCATGCCGGTACGGTATGTCTAAGCAAAGCTCGCGCGATATCTCGAGCTAGCTAGCTACTGTAGGCTGTAGCTAGGCAGGGCCTGGACTCGGACAGTCAGACTCAATGGAACTACATAGCCAGGAAGTAGTACTTGTGCCTGGAAAGGAAGGCGCAGCCATTGCATTTTGATCAGGCAGCTCTCTCTCTCCTCTCTGTCGTTTTGGGACGACAATCAGGTTGCTGGCACTAACAGCTGTTCAATGCTCTCTTGCCAGATCATGCAGCTTGAGCTTTAGCAAGTTGTGTCAGGATTGTAGAAAAAGTGCTGAAGAGCTACATTCTTTCATTCCAGCTGCACCATCAGAGATCTGGAACCAAGTTTGTGACGTGCTTTTCGGTATAACCTGCTCTACTTGAAAGGAACGATTGCACACATCTCCATCAGCCGAACCACCATAAGCGCCCGCGCCCGCCATCTCCTATGGCGGACGCCGCCTACGCCAGCCAAATGGACACTCACCGCCGCTCGCTGTCCCTCAAAACCCCAGCCGACCCTGCCGAAATTACGGGCGATGCTACCTCCGCTTTAGAGATAGATTCCGGCGCCGTTCGAGGGGAGAAGCTGGGCATGAGGGCCGTGCGGAAGGCTGAGGGAATGAAGTTGAAACACGTAGCCTCGGTGCGGACAATGCAGCTGCTCTCGCGGTTTCTGAGGGTGGGGCGGGCATTCTTTCAGGGCGACGCCAAGTGGCGGGCCTGGGGGCTGACGGCGCTGATGCTGGCGCTGTGTGGCGTTACTACAGGTGAGAGGTGGGGTGATGCGGGGTCGGGCATTTGCACACCAGCAATCCCCGCACCACCTTACGTTGTCTTGGAGTTTCTTTGAGGCACTCAGAGCATCTTAAGGGGCTCTTGATATATCAAGTGTGCCAAATGGCTTGATGGGCGATAAAGTGGGGCGCCCATGAGGTGGGCTTTTGTGGGACGGCCTCGGCCCCTGGCTTCTTAATAGTGTACCGTGAGTTTGATTCCATCAAGGCTGAAAGCTGACCGCTAGTCTTCAGCCCACATTGGTGGTTGAGTCCACTGGCAGGTTGATGTGAATTAGCGTTCTCTGTGACACTATGTCACGTTGAATCAGCCCTCCTCCATTTGGGTCCTTTGTGCTACCACGCAGCCTTCCTGTTTATAAAAAAGATCTGTCTAGGCAGTCCCTTGACAATATTAAGGGCCGTTGTTGTGCCCCATTTAACCTGTCATGACAAAGTTAGGAAAACTCCCCAGACATTGTGATTCTAAGCATCCATCCCCATTATTTGAAGTTCAAAATGCCAAGCTGTGACTCTTGTTATGTTTGCATTCCAAGTATCTGATCGTCGCACTGTGGCTTTCTCGCAGGCCTGTTTGTGGTTTTGTCATACACGCAGCGCGACTTCTCGACCGCTCTCTCCCAAAAAGACCAGCCCGCCTTCTGGAAGGCCGTTTCACGCTTCCTAGGCATCCTGGTGGTGGCGACGCCGCTCTTCGCGGTCTACGACTACGTGCAGGTTAGTGCGTAACCTCTTTCTTCTGCTGAAAAGTAATCCCTCTTGTTGCTGACACAAGTACCTTTGAGGGTGCAAGAAGTGTTGCCACAGCGGCCTCTCAATCACTCGGGGCTGTTTGGCCTGGTCCACCCGCAAATCTATGCTGATCCACTCATATTCGACGTCTCCGAGTCTGCGCGTCAATCCTTCAGTATGTTCAGAATTCCTCAATTATGCATCGATCAAGTATGTCACGGATGGCTTGAAGTCTGCGTTCAAAGGAACGGCGCTGAACTGCGTCGTTCGGTGCAATTCTCTGCCACAACACAGACATCCCCGTTTTCTTTCCAGGACCTTTTGGCGCTCGAGTGGCGCGAGTGGATGACCAACCTCCTCGTCTCCAACTACTTTGCGCGCCGCGCTTTTTTTGACCTGAAACTCGAGAATACACTGGACAATCCGGACCAGCGGATCTGCGACGACGTCCGAAATTTCGTCGGCGGGAGCGTGGGACTCGTCGTCTTTACCACCAACAAGATCCTCAACTCGATTGCATTCACGGGCGTGCTCTGGTGAGTGAGGAGGGTTTGGATAGGGTCAGGGAATAGGGTTAGGGCTGGGGTTAAGGCGTTGGAATGGTTTGGGTCAGGGGTCAGGGTTGGGCTCGACTTCGTCGGCGAGAGGTTCTTCTGGCGTAGTTGTGAGGGTGGCTTTGGGCGAAGGAGCGCCGGGGTTCTTGTTTTACATAACGAAGAAGACACCTTCATTCAATTGCTTAGTTGAGTACGAAGAAGCCGCTCTTAGCGGCTCTGGGTTTAGATTGCGAGAGGTTTTTCCGGCGTGGCTATATCAGGGTAGCTTTCGATGGACGGGCGCCAGACCTGTCCTGTTTCTTTACGAACATCGCTTGCTCGATTGCGTCCGCGGGCGTGCTCTGATGAGTCCGCTGAATTGTTTGTGAAGATAATTCGGTCAACAGTATTGGGCGAAGTACGTGTGCCTTGGTTGGGATAGTGGCGTCTTCGGCCTTTCTTACGATTCTTATCCCGATTCATGCTTGCGCTCTGTTTTGGCCAGTGCCCTTCAGGTCTGCTCGATGCAAATGCGTTCGCTTTGGAGTTCGTTTCGCTGGTCCGTGCCCCTGTCACTTCAAGCTTACGATGTTGACAAGTCTTATTGAACCATTCACAGATTCTTTGTCTGGACAATCTGTTCTGCACGCTCGAAACGAGGGTTGAAGCCGCTTCGTAACGTGCGGTGTTCCAGCAGTTTTGTCTTATATTTTGTCTCCTCATCATGGTTTCATATGAGATTGGAATCCAACGAAGCCAGCCAATTCGAAGAAGGCTAACGGACGACGGAAAGAGAAGCCAAGTCTTTGATTGGCCAGTCGCTTGACGCTCACGGGAAACATGATAACCGAGCGATGATTGAATTGGAAAGAAAGAAAGAAAGTGGACGGAAAGCTTGAGGAACTCTGACCCCCCTTGCTTCGCCTGTGTCAGGTCCGTCTCCCCAGAATTGGTCATCTTTCTGCTGGCGTACTCCATAATTGGGACGCTTGTTGCGCTCAAGATCTTTGGGAAGAAGATGGTGCACTTGCAATACGAGGTGCGCATTCACACCCTGACTTGTGGGCATCCACCACTTGACTTGTGGGCGTTTACACCGCAGCTCGTGCGCATTCACACCGCAGCTCGTATGCATCTTCAGTCTGAATTTTTGGGGCATTCACGACCTGACCTCTGGTCATTGCAATCTGGCATGTGGGCATTCACACCGCAGCCAAATGATACAACGGTCATTGCTTGGTTGTTGGGCATCTGCATACAAGTTACGGTGAAACGAGGTGTTTAGAATTGTAGAAAGACCTTAAAAGCAGAGACTTTGTTTGGGATACGAGCCGCGTGGGTAGCCAATAAGCATCGTAGCACATTGCAGACTAGAAGTGATCACGAAGCTTGTAGATCGGTCTGGTGTTCCGCGAGCGCGCAAAGTGGCGCTATGCTCTGCAGAAACCTGCTTGCAGAGTTCCCTCAAGATTTGCACACTTGTTGTCGACGCAGCATCGAAAGGCACGAACCGGAATGTTAACGCATTCTCATGTCAAGATGCTTGACTCACGCTAGCTAACAGTTGCTTCCTTTTGCTTGAGGAACACAAATCCTGAGCTCCTGTCAGCTGGTGGTATCATGAAACACTGAGACACGCTAATTCACGACGCTTTCATTGAGTGGAGGAATAAAAGAACAATTTCCAACAACAACACGAAAAGAACAAAACCCTTTCTCCTATAACCCCTCGAACGGCATCCTCTGCAGGCCCTCGCTCGTCAAGCCGACTTCCGGTACTCGATGGTACGTGTCCGCGAGAACGCCGAGTCAATCGCCTTCTACCGAGGTGAGGTCTCGACAAGCTCTTCATCAGAGGACACCAAAGCTGATCAGAAGCATTCAAGTATCCGGTTACAAGGGGATGCTCGCTTTCGGCCGTTTGCAACCACGCTTTCAATCTCTCTGACTGCATATAAGCTTCATCGTCATTTGAGGGAATGCGCGCGCAGCAACGACGCACTGCTGGCGCCCATCAGTCGCGTTGACAGTACGTTCGTTCCCCTTTTCGAACTTTTTTTTTAACTTAGTCAAAAGGCTTCTCAGCCTAAAAGTAACTTTTCATCCGCGCGACAAGTAAGCTGCTGCATGAGGCTCCAGAACACTCGTTCTATAGCAGAAATACAGTTTCTTAGCGCACCAATCGATCCTGAACCGTGTGATTGTAGGAGGCTCCCGTAAACAAGCCAAGGGAAGTTTTAACTTACACATCTCGTAAGCTGACCGTTCACACGATTGTACAATCGCGGCAAACTGCTATCAGATGTTGGTCCCAACTGGGACCTCATTTGGCAAGTCGCTCCCCGGCCGAGAACCTAGTGCCAATCTCTGAGTCCCTCTCTTTGTCGCTCGTTCCCGAATTTAAAGCTCAAATCGGTTTACTTGATCAACCTCTGTTGCTGGCCCAAAGAACCATTGAAGTTCGTTTCAGCAATTACTTTTACAAATGCCAACTAGGAGCGTCAATCACACCATTCGACCTTCGTAACTCCAAACATTCGCCGACCTCGGGACCCGGTTCTTCGACCAGTCAAACTCGTTTGTTCACCAGCCAATTCAGCCCAAGCCGCTGCTTAACCCACCACTTATGTCGACTTTGTAGGCGAGGAGCGCGAGCTTCACTCTGTGAGCGCTTTCGTCCGACGGATGATCGCCGTGCTGCGGCATCGCATCGTGTGGAGCCGCCACCTGTCACTCTTCGGGAACGCTTATGAGTACGCGACTCTAGTGATTCCCTCGGTCATCATTGCGCCGCGCTACTTCGCGGGCCAGGTAAGCACGCTGCCTTCGCTTTCAGGTTGTAGGTTTCAATGTCTGTTCGGAGCTTGACCGTTTTGGTTGGGATCATAGATATCCGATCCGGCTTAGAACCCTTATACCTGTCTTGAGGTATGTATCGAGTCCTTGATCTCGCTTTCTTTTCTGCTGGCTCAACGGTAGCTTTCATTCACTGGCTTCCTTGACGCGCCCTCCAATTGTGACAACGCTTGTTTCGCACGCCCACTCAACAGCCCCTGTCGGGGTCTCGTCTCGTTTCGCTCGATCCAAGTCACCTGCGATCTCCCACCTATCCATGTCCATATGCATCCTCTCCGTTTCCCATTGGATGCGATTCTGGGCCTGGTCGTACAGAGTTTCGATTGCTCCAAATCATCTCAAATTCTTACACCTCTTTTATGACGTTACAGCCCACAAAGCAGCACAAATCTGGATTCTCAATTTCCAAGTTTGCTTCTCTCCAGATTGAGTTTGGCGTGGTCACTCAGGCGGGCATGGCCTTCCGCGCGATCCTGTCCGCCCTGACGGTCCTCGTAGCGAAATTCCTGGAGCTCAGCGAATTGGCTGCGGGCACGGAACGCTTAGACGCCCTCATTCTGGCCCTTGCCAAGCACAGCGGCGACCGGCGGTTGGCAACTCACGAGCAAGTAGCGGAAGAGGAAGCGGGGCCGCGGAACAGCGCGGAAGAAGGTGCGCGCTTCTTCCTAGGTCGGTGCCGCATCTGACCTTGCCGACTGTACGACATTTTAGATGACCATGAATCTTTTCGCTTCTCTTGACTCAGCAGCCCTCTCGTTCCCTGAGTTCCAGGGCAACCGCAAATCCTCTACGTCCCCGCATAACTTGATCAAGCCCTCAGCCCTCTTGAAGCACCCATGGCAGCTCTTGCCTTTAGGCTGAGCCGTCGCACCAGCTTGTGCAAACCCTCTACGCTTCTCCATATGTTAAACCCCCCCCATCCTCTCGTCCGCCCGTGACGCTTCCTTCCTTTTCTTCTGACCCGTCTTTCTCAACCCTCAGACTCTTTTCTTTGTTTTGAGCCGTCGTATCCACCTTGCAGACGACGAAGAACGTGCGTTGTTGCTGCGCGTGACGGAAGGCGGCCCCTCGCGCATCGCTAAAACCGAGGGCCCGGGACTGATTCTGAAGGACGTCTCCATTTCAACGCCAGACCGGCGACAAACTCTGTTTGAAAATCTGAACCTGACACTACTCGAGGGACAATCGCTTATGGTCACGGGGCCCTCGGGGTGCGGGAAGTCGAGCTTGCTGCGGGCGATTGCCGGGCTGTGGAACGCAGGTGGGTCAGCGTAACCGGTCTGAGTTAGCAACCGGGTTTGAGAGGTTGCGGAGTATGCCAGGAAGAGCACTCTGGGAGACGGGAAAAGGAGAAACGGATGACCAAACGTTGTCAGGACGCTTGTTTCGCTGTAGATCGTATATTTTTCTATTATTCTTTTGGCTTTCCGTTGCCAATAAGCTTGCTCTTTCCATTTTGAGGTTCCTTTTAAACGGTCCTCGTTTTCTGGCACTGGAGAATGTTCGGTATAGCGTAGCTCATGCGTGCTTTCACGTGCGTTGTGGAGCCCGAAGCTGGGAAAAAGCGGTAAGTCGTTCGAAGCAAGTTCATGAGCAGGTGGAAGTGGTTCAGTTGATCTTTGCAAAAGCCGAACATGCAGGTCACCAGGTCAACCAAGACTTGACCAACGCTTCCAGTCGAACAGTCCTCTTGACCCACTTCATCTCCATTCTTCTCAGGGAGTGGAGAGATAAGCTGCCCCCCGGCAGCGCAGACCTTCTTCTTGCCGCAAAAGCCGTACATGCCGCTGGGGAGTCTGCGACAGCAGCTGCTGTTTCCAAAGGACGAGAGCCACAAGCTGCGGCCAGCGGACGAAGAACTCATCACGGCACTCGAAGAGGTCAGCGGAAAAGAGCGTGGTTCACAAACTGATTCAAAACTGGTCAAACTCCCAGCCAATTTGATTGCAAGGTCGGGGGAGTAGTGCGCTTCTTCGGAGTTGGGGGCACTTCTGATTTTGGACGAACAAAAGCCGTCCGGAATATGTAGGCAGGAGCCAAAACAACGCTCCATTTGCAAGGCGGCAGTCGATGGACACCTCCTCCCGTTGAAGTTGACGACGTCCAAAGCCGCAGACAGTCTCCACTTAAACCTCGTCTTGAGCGAGCCTTACTGCAGGTTGAACGCAGTTCCACTGTAACAACGATTGTCGTAAGATGTCGCGGTACGGCTTGAAAGCCTGAAGAGCCTCCCACGCGTAACAGTAGCTTCGCACAGTGCCGCAGGTGCAGTTTTGCAGTCTTGTCTTTCTTCAAACACGGAAGCAAGAACCCTATATGGGAGCGTCCCGATCCTGACCGTACGTCTTTGCGGTTTGGCAGTGGCTCCTTCAAAGCTCAACTCGAGGCTAAAGCAGAAAATTGCAGAGCGTTTCGCTCCACTTGGGGAGCTCAACCTGGGCTCACAAGCGAGACACAAGTGGAAAAACCGGAGCTTCATTCTTGACCGTGATCTGTGCCACGTGGCAGGTACACCTAGGGAGCCTCGCGGAGAAGGTGGGCGGTTTGGGGGCCGTCTGCGACTGGTCGGACATGCTCAGCTCGGGGGAGCAGCAACGGGTCGCTTTCGCCCGGTTGCTCCTACAAGAACCCCAAGTAAGTGACATTTGTCTCAAAGGCTTTGAGAATCTGTGAGTTGATTCTTCGCTTGGTTTCTCTTGCAGGAAAGGTAAGTAGGCAATGTAGGGATGAACTGTTTTGGGGCTTGGTTCAATCCTTTGCCCAGTTTACTTCAAGAACCCCAGGTAAAAAGCAACCGTCTCGGGACTCCCAGTCTCGGCGTTCGATCCTTTTCTTAATTGGTCCTTTGGAGTTCTTAGGAACGGGGCAGCCGTCTCGGGGCAGGTTTGCGATCCATTGGGCGTCAGGGTCGGCATTCTGTGTTCTTATATCCTGCTTTCCCCGATTCGGTGTCAAAATTTGAAGGTCGCTGTGTCTATGGTTTCGTGCAACCGGCGTTCCTAATACCCATGCAACCCACTCGGAGGACGTGTCCTGTGTCCTCGTCTAATGTGTTCCCATGCGTGGCGCTTTGCTTCTGATTTGGGTTTGCGTGTCGGGTTAGACGTCCAGTCAGGGTGAAACCAGGCCCATCGTGTCGTCCTTCTTCTCGTTATTGTCATGGTCCTCCCTTATCTAACCAGCCTTTCTTGACGGAGCCAACTCCTGAGAAAACGCGTTCCTTGCCAGCCAAGGGACATCTTTGCCACGTGTCGGTCTCAAACTGATCGACGGCTGTCGGCACTCCAGGTCGCCTTCCTGGACGAGTCGAGTAGCGCTCTGGACAGCGCCAACGAGGCGCACCTGTACAGTCTGCTGCAACGACGGATACACTGCTACGTCAGCGTGGGGCATCGTCTCTCGCTGGTCAAGGTGGGCAGTCCAGAAAATGGAATCCGTGAAATGCATTGCTGTCTACAACCGCAGGAATCAAGGGAGTGGGCAATTCAGAACGTAGAAGTCGTAACAGCGTGAAGCTCTTACAAGCCTAAACACCTGGTTTTCAAAGCAAGTATCAGATTTGTAGATTGAATCTGTTCGACCCACTGCATTTTCTAGAACAAAAGACTCGACCGAGGTGACCACTCAACACGAAGATTAAGGGGTTTAGGGTTTTAGGTTTAAAGGTTTGAAGGTTAAAGGTTAAAGGTTAAAGGTTAAACGTTAAAGGGTACTAGGGTCTCTCAACCCGCAAGTGCTGGGTCCTCAAAGCGCTCACCTGCAGATTCGTCGGAATTCTGACGCTTTCGTGAGGCACCTTCTCTTGTGTATAAGGATGGCAGTTTAGAATGCCAATCGAAAATATTCCTCGTCAGACCGGGAACCCCGTAGGTTTCTTTGAGCTCTTGAGGATTCTGCGAATCTTTTCTGTGACAGGGAACGTGACCGGAGTTTGCGAAAGATCTACCTTTCGTTTTACGGATCACGGAGATGAAGTATGATGCACCACGAATTCGATGTTTTAGATTGGCAGTGAAGAGACGAAGAAGATCCTGACAACAGTAAGGCGCTCTAAGTAGGTCGGCGACTTGCCGGCTGACGCTTTTGTTAGGCTTTTGCCAGGGCAGCGTTCTCCGTTAAGCAGAACGCAAAATTCTTCCGCTAGTACAGCTTGAGGATCTTCAAGCTGTTTACACCACAGCTCAAACTGTTTCTGTCTTTATCTTGCAGTACCACACGCACGTGTTGCAGTTCACGGAAGGATCTGGGTGGCGCCTTCAGACGTCACAAGCCTTCCAGCGACAGATGGCCGTCTGAAGTCCCCTCCAAAAGGCGACAGCTTTTCTAGCAAGCACGCTCGGAGCAGCAGCCGTCGTCTGAATGCCAAAAAACCTCGTTATCATGCAGCTTAAGCAGTTCTTGAAAACCGAAGATAATTGAGAAGGCGTCTGCACGCCAAACCACTTTGGGGAAATTGAATGGATCTCGCGGTCTCTTTTATGTTTGCAAAAGGTGCACGAGGTTCCGAAGAAAGCAAAACAATGTTGATCAGTGAGCTTGAAACAGAACCGGTTTATTCTGGCAAGCCGCCACCCTCCTAAATGTCACAAGTATGATCGATTCCAACGCGACAGAATCACTACTATAGTGTTGGCACGCGATCGGATGAGCCATATTCATAAGCGGCAGCGCGGCAAAACAAGCGGAGGGACGCGTTCGACCTGGTGCTTACAACAGATCTTTATGTGTGTTCATAGTCGATCTCTGGTAGAGTCAAGGTCGTAAATTGCATGCGCCGCTGTCCTTTGAATTGACTGCAATCTGATCGTCGTATCGCTGCTTCCAGGTGCGCGGCCGCCATATAGTGCATGATCGATCAGGCCTATATACTGAAACTTGTCTTGAAAAGCTCATGCAAAATCCACAACGATATCTCGTCGGAGGCCGTCGTGCGGGCGAACAATCACCACATTATGCAGCCCACGGGCCTTAACAGAGCCGCCTCACGGTAACGCGTTCCGAACACATGGAAGTGAAGACTCGAAGACGAAAAAACACTCAATTTCAGGATGCACATGATCGTATAATAGAACGATAATTACACGCGAATTAATGTTATCATGCATCCAATATCAAACATCATATCAGATTTTCTTCCCAGCTATAATAGTTGCGTGCATGCAGACACGATTTGCCACTGCCGAGACAAGACTGAGTACTACTAGTACGTCAACATGTATAGATTATGCTGCCTTGTATTTCAGAGTTGGCTGGCAGCCGTTTCCTCAGAGATAAATTCACGTGCCAGCCTGTAAGGGCCCGTTATGAAATCGTTGTAGGCAACTATGCAGCTGCTGATGATAGAGGAAGACGGTACCGCAAACGAAGTGGGTAGCTGCAGTTCCTAGCTGTATCGTGAGCGTTGTCGACTCTCAGATACAACGAATGAGGCACTTAATACTCATCATGAAACCGGTCAGGCTGTTGGCAGAGACAAACAATCATCGTGATCAATAGTAGGCCCAGGGCTATCATTCAAGATCATACATGCCATGCAAGGACTGATTAAGACGAGACTCGCAAAAACCAATGATTTCTATGTAGATCTGAGGTACTCGCTTTTAGCACACCTGCAGTAAAAGCAGCAGTCTGGCCAGCTCACGAAGTCCGTGCACGTGGGGGTTTGCCCATGCATGATGCAACCAAGCATTGCTTTTCTTCGTCGAGCAACATCATTGCTCGGCTACTCTTACCTCGTCATTGCGTCCAGTATCAGAGTTTGATACCGCTAGCTTTGAAGAGTTCGCTTGCATGAACAGCGCAGGGGCTGGGCCCTTGTTTGCGTCCTTTTTAGCTTACACAGATTAGCTCACAATCAGAAGGAGAACTTATAAACCACGTGAATCCAGAAACGGGCTTACCTGTAAACCGAGAATGATCACCTGAAATGTTGTAGATGGTTGAGGGACCAGATGTGAAAGAGCACGTCAGTGCTGCCTGAGCCTAAAGTGCTGCTCAATAAGCGGCTCCTCCAATCGGCGCTCCTTCACCTTTCGCTTTTCGGCTTTTATGGACCACTGCAGCCGCAATTAGAAGAGTATTCGTTCGGCTGGTCTGTGCTCAACAAATTTGATGCGACACATACACTGATTCCAGTAAAGCTGACAAGCCAGTCTGATTCGCCAGATTGAGCACACTGATAGCAGTGTGACACGCGAGCCCCCTCGCCAAGAAGTATAAGGAGGCAACAGAGAATTGAGTCCGTCAAAACTCATGTGGGACAGGAAACTGCTCATAACCTTCAACCATCTGGGAGAGTGGTCTTCGGTGGCCACTTCTACCAGACAGTCAAGCACAGCGTCTTGTAGCGTTGCCGTCAAGAGTCTCAGCGCCTCGGTGCTATGGTATAGCTCTGCTCGAAGTGGTCAACTCCTGCAACTTGAAGGTGCTCTTTGCAGGTGTGAGAGAGTAAGATGTGCATGTGTCCTGCCAGTGGGTCTCGAGACCTACGGTACCACAGCAGCTCTGGGCTTCAAGGTGTAAGAAGAGTGCACTGGTCATTGCTCGAGGGAAAGCAGCCTGTCGAAGTAACATTTTGCAGCGGGCCACGAAAAGCCATCTGGTGAATCATCTCCTCTCGATCAATGTGGTCTCGCCACCTGAGTTTCTTCAGTTGACTCAGCAAAAGGTCAGTGCGGAATGGTGCTTCAGAATCCAGTTTGCTGTACTCAAAGTGCGTGTTCTTTGAAGGCTTGGAAGGCAGGTATGAGGTTCGCAGGCCTGCCTCAAAACTTCATCCCTCTAACTTTCAACGTCTTCTAGATTGCTGAACTCTGATGCCTGCTCTTGGAGGCAAGATCGAAGAGACTGCTTCGACGGTAAGACTACCTTAAAACTCGAAGAGTGGGCGGAGCCGGTAGTCAATTCTGCCTATACAAGCAGATGGGCGGCGTAAAGCTTCATGTCGTCATTTCGAGGCTGCTTCCGACTGACGGTAGATACTGGAGAAGTCCAACCGTACGAACTGGACGGGCCAGTTGGATTGCTAGCTATATCTGTGACGGCAAGGATCATTCAGAGGCGTTTACTGGTCCACTTTGCCCCGGCAAAAGCTAGCTAGACCACGAGTCACGGGCATACACTTGCACGGAGGAAAAATGGTTCCTTAATACAAGGACCTTGTGCGGAGGCTCGAACTGTAGCCAGACCGTTTCTTCTGCTCTTGCTCATCAATTTCGTTAAGAACCGCGCGGCTCTGTGAAATGCGAAGAGCATTAGAGTACTTATAATATGAACGCGAGCAGCGTTGGATCACACGGACTGCATGTGCAGTCGCTCATGTTGCGAAGGGCCTGTGCTTTCTCGCGTGGACTTTCGATAGGGCCGGAACTTGAATTAGACGGCGGCTAGGTCGTAATCCTCGTAAACGAATGTGCTCCGAAGAAGAAAATTGTAAGGATCGAATCTAATGCCCGATTCTTCCAATCTCGCAGGTCCTTGATATTTGTCAAGGGCTGCGTTCCAACTGAAAAGGGCTTGCATCCAACGACGGATCAATCAAGTAAACAAGATCGAAGGATGTGACTTTTTAAGGGCGTCAGCACCAAAGGTAAGTCTGGGACTCGGTGCTTCAAAAACTAGGACGCTGCCAGCTTTTACCGCCCATGCACAAGCAGTATGCGCATTTCTTCTTGATGGTGCGTATTCAGTGAAAAGTCAATCGGCCCCGGCCGGTCATGACAATATGGCCGGCAACGAGTTTTGTTTCGGGGCGGCACTACTCATGCATCAAAACATGGTGCAGTCCGGTCACATGTCGGACCGCGATCTCATATAGCCGCACTGAGCGGCGCCCGCGCGCGACATGGCAAGTGGACTCTAGAACGTTTGTGTACAGGCGCGGTTTATGTATACCGCGGTCCCTGCATCATCTGGCATGCAGTGTAGTGTGCCATACACAAGCGGGCGGCCCGGGGCAGCTGGCACTCCGTCGGCAGGCAGGCGGCAGCTAGCGAGATGTTGCACTGGTCGACGATTTAATCACGACGAGCTAGCGGCCGGGTAGGTAACGACAATCTTAGGTCGGGCATGTGCCCGGTACGTGAAGAGGCTAGACCGTTGCGTGTCGATTTGATCTGATTGCACATGCGAGGATTGTGAAGATTTGGCGATGTTTGCGTGTGATGTTTTACGTACTATCTAGACGGCAATCTATGGTATGCTTGATTACTACAAAATCCGACTTGCGCCCTTTGGGCGCAGGGCGCCGTAAGTGCAAGGCTAAAGTGGGATGATAGAATCGCGGATAATGAACGGCCTTGACATCCATTTTTCAAATCCACAATTTATACCAAGTGCATGTCCTCATACAATGAATAGCACACACAAAGCTCCCAATCACCAACATGCAATTGACTGCAAAGAGAGGAAGATTGACTGTACACAAGTAGCGTTTGTCATTGGCAATGTACAGGTGTAGTGTACAAGTCTGACTCTAAGACCAGTCGTTCGGAATCAACAAAGACGACATCTGTACCTTCGTGTCGGAACACGTATCTGACCTCCCCACATCCAGTAACAGAATCTCAGAACCAAGGCACAAACAAAAGACAAACGGAGACTACGATTTCTGATGGGCTCCGATCCTCGACCTCTAATAATAAGATACAGACAGTAGCCTTTGCAAATCCACCCTTCTGTTATTGGCCGGAACAGGTCTCGATCCAGAGGGCGAAGACTGCTGTGCTTGCTACGGCAACAGTAGGACTGGTATATAACGCGCAGCTAACCTGACAATGATCCAAACACCTAGCACACTGACCGTCAGCCCACGTGGACACCAGAGTCTTAGACGGTGTACGACTGTTGAATCGTGTTGACGTCGATGTTCTGCAAGGGAAAGATACAAAAAGCCGTTCGTTTGAGATCGCCGGACTGGACGAGTGAACTTTTCTCAGCCTGCCAAAAGTTCAGTACTCCCTCCTAAAGCTTCACAGGGTCAACCAGGCTGAATTAGCGCCAGAAAGATAATACGGGTTCACCAGCAATGGGCAGAGTAGACAAAGCACACGTTTCGACGCATCCAGCCAAAAGTGCCTTATCAGATGGCAAATATCACTATGCAACGAGCAAGCCACATCGGCCTCTTTGCAGGAACTTAGTACACAGGCAAGCCTCGAGGAGCTACGAGTGACGTCGCCTTACCTTGAGCTTGATCACTGACTCCACGTGACCCTTCAGAGTGTGCAGGTCCCTCAGGCGCGCGATCTCCGAGCGCCGCTTCGCCTGCTCAGCCGCCTCGGACAGGTCCTTGAAGGAGCCGCTGCACAGTCAACGCATGGATGAGCAGGAGTCCATTGACCGTCTAAACGACAGCCGATTGTCCTGGCTGTTGTTGACGCCAGCGGATGGATATACGTCCCTGTTTACTCGACTGACAAAGTCCTTTGGCGACAAGATAGCACGGGGTTTTCGAATGCAAGCGCGTCAAGCTCTGTACGGCATTGTTCTGAAAGACGATGGATCCACACCCTTGCAGACACTTGCCAATCTGCGGTTCTAAATATCAGGAACAGAGATAAGCAGATCTCATCAGGGGATTTTTGCCAGAAACAAGCGGACGGTGCGGAAAAGGGCCGTCCAGGCGGGGAGGGTGGCACACAAGCAAACAACGCTCCAGGGAGGGAGGGACTGAAGCGGAGCTTATAAAAATTCAAGCCTTGGATAGAATGCGACACAGAATGTAGTAGTCACTACAATCGGCCTCACCGGTCGGACATCATCTTGGTGTCGGCGGGGTGCAGGCCGTGCAGCGTGCGCTGCGCATGCGCCCATCTGGCCTGCTGTTCCGCGCGGCCGAAGTTCTTGTCCTGGCGGAACGCCGTCCGGCGGAACATGGTGTCCCAGGCGCGGCCGCTGAGGACGAACCGGATGGCGAACTTGACGATGTCCAGCGGGAAGTACGTCACGATTGACCACAGCCACGTCACGCCTGAAGGGAGCGAGAAATGGAAGGTAAGGAACTCGTACGAGGACTTTTAAGAGGACATAGCACCACGGCTTTCCGACGATGTCCCATTCCACCTCGTGTACTGGTTGGTGACTGCCACTTTGACACTACCGCATCGTCCTGCGGGGCGAGTGTCAGAGTCTGACTCCGGTAGGGATCTCGCGAATTCGTCGGCCGATGGCCCCTTTGGATTCACGCTTCCACAAGGACGCACTCCGCTGACCGAGCCGGACGATGGTACAAGGGAATCGAGACTGACGTCAGCGTTGCACAACCACTGTACAAACGCTGCCCTTTCTGAAATCGCCAAAGTGACGACCTTCGACGACCTTCGCAGGTCGTCTGTGCAGCGGCCTGTTTCAAGTCAATATCCCCTCCATATCAAACGAAGGCCGAAAGCGCACCTGCCCAGCCCCAGCCGGCGCCCCTGATGTTGCAGAAATTCCACGTGGCATACACGGCGATGAAGGTCGCAATCAGCTGGGCGACGAGGAAGGCCAACACCAGCAGGAACCCGGGCCGCTCCAGCCACGAGAACCTCTGGGATCGGGTCACAAAGATGAGTGCCTGGCTGATGATGGACACCTGCGAGAGAAGAGGGGCCAAAGTTTAGCGCTCCGGTTCATCTCCAAGGGGATGGACGTAGAGGCGCCCTTAGGGATTGGGAGAGGGTTCGGGAGCGCATAGATCTGCGCAGCAAGATCCACAAAAGGAGAACCAATTTTACCAGCGAGTACGGCATACTGCGCGCTCCAACCGTTCATGCATGTCAAGGTAGAAGCCACGACTGCACACAAAGCTCTGCTCTTATTAAGGAGAGTGCTTCCAATACCTTCCAATTTAAATGGAATAAGAGGATGAAAGTAGAGGCGGCCCGCGAGGAGACCGATGAGGCGTCGATTGAGAATTGCCACTCAGCTTCAGCACAAGCTGAGATGTTGCGGACGACGAAGGCCGCAAGCAAACGGAACCCAAAGCCACAATCAAGTCAGAAGCAATCTGCATCCTTCTCTCAACTTGCAACACATGCCGCAGAACAAACCACTCCCAAACACTTTTCTCTAGCGAAAAAAAGCCCTCTCAAACAGACGTTGTTTCCCACCTGCAGGTAGATGACCGCCACTCTCTCCTTGTAACGCCTCGTGCTCACGGGCTCGCTGTTCGGATCGGGCCGGAGGGTGCGGACGCCGAACGCGTCCGAGAAGAAGTCGGTGTCGTTCATGAGGTAGTAGAAGATGACGGTCATAAGCGCCAGGTACGATCCAAGGGCGACGCCCTGCGCGAAGATCTCCTTGAGCTTCCAGCTGTCGGGTGAGGGGGACGGCTTCACGCGGTCCTTGGAGATGGTCATGATGGTGCCTGCGAGGAACGGGGAGTCACGGCGTTAGTGCAAACTAGACAGGGGCAAGAGGAGCAAAGAGTCGGGAGTAAGCGGCTCGCTGAGACGCCGTTTGGAGGCGCTGCACCACCAGAACAACCTTCTTAGATTGGATACAGAAATAATAAACGGAACCATTTATTATTTCTGTACCCAATGCAAAGGACAGGACAAGACAATTGCGCCAGAAGTGCTGCGGAAAACGTTATGAATAAACGCCGTGATTCTCGAATGGAGGCCTCAGTGGCGAACGGTCCAGTCAAAAGACCTCAACAGACACGTGATGCAATCTCTCAGCAAACGAAAATTTCAACAAGAAAGGACAAAGCTAAAAGGCAGGCTCTGAGGCCTCTCTTGCTGGCTAAAAGCCAGGCTGCATCTCTCGAAGTGCTTACCGTCGTTCAGGATCGCAATGATCAGGACCATGAACGGCGGGAAGTCGAACTTCCAGATGAGGGCCAGCAGCATGAAGCCGAGCACGATACGGATGGTGATCGACACAGCGTAGATGGTGTAGTTCTTCATACGCTGCAACAGCAAAGGGTAGAGAATCAGCTCTCGCCATAAGCCGCAGGAAGAGAGCGAGTAGACGAGAGATTGACCGCAAGTCTCGTGCCAAGCTGCGCCAATGCATTTGTGACGGACTTTGAGGCACTCAAAGGCTCCAGATTCTGGCTGGGTTCAGAAATTTTGTAGCAGTAGACACGTCAGATCGAGGCAATAGGCCGGCACCTGGAAAATCGAGCGGCTCGTGATGATGGCGCTGATGATGACGCTCAGACCCGGCTCCGTCAGCACGATGTCAGCAGCATTGCGGGCGGCGTCGGTGGCATCAGCCACAGCGATACCAATGTCACCCTTCTTCAGAGCAGGCGCGTCGTTGACTCCGTCTCCAGTCATGCCGACGACGTGCTTCTTCTTCTGGAGGTGCTCGACAATCTGGAGAAACAGAAACCAGCATCAGTACCACATCCGTTCTCAGCAGGCGATTTTGCAACAGAGGTCAAAAGCTTCGTCCACGTTTTCTGCTCTTCTCAAAAGTTCAACGCCTTTGTTAGCGAAAGCAGAGGGGTTTGACGTTCGTTCTCCATAAAAGCAGAGTCCTGACAGAGGCCGTCAAATCAGTTACCAATCAATTGGCTGCATCTCCTTTTGAAGACATCTAGTCTCGATTCGAAGATTTCCATTTCCGTTTACACTGTTAGCTGTCGAGTTGGTTTGCTTCTACGAAAGAAGAGTCTTGATAGAGGCTGTCAGACACCCATCAACCTGGTCAAATCTCGTTTCTCAGAACAGCACTCTCGGTCCGAAAACCTCGGTCCCTTTCTTCTGTAACAGTGTCGAAGTAAGTACTTGAAAACACCTTGCCTCTGCGCATAGGGGGTTTCACCTCAGACCTCTTCTAATACCTCTAGCAAAACCAACTTTGTCTCCAGCTTTACCTGGTACTTGTGCTCAGGGAACACTCCAGCAAAGCCATCAGCCTTCTCGATGAGCTCATCTAGCGGCTGGCCCTGCAGAGTCGCCTCCCCTCCCAGAAGATAGCTCGACGGGTACATGTTTGTCCCCATGCCCAGGCGGCGGCCTGTTTCCTTTCCAATGGCCAGCTGATCACCTGCAAGTAGATCCAGCGTTACAAGTCAGCGACAGATGCCCTACTAAACCCTTTGCCAAGACTGATGGCCTGTGGAGTGCAAATCAATGACTGCCAGAAAAGAGCTATGAGAAGTTGTGCAGTTAACAGTACTCTTCTTGGAAGCGATTCTTGCCACCAAAGAGTGCTTACATGCAACTGCCTGACTGCATGGACAATGCACCAGATTGACTTAAAACTCACAAACGTATAGTACTCGCAAAGCATTTTCTCAAGTGTCCTTGTTCAATGATGATGCTTGATAATGCTTATCAGGATAACCCGAGGGCGCCCTCGCAGCGATTCACAACGCTGTTAATCTGTGGTCAACAACATCAACTTGCATCAGACATTGCAGCAAGGACAGCTCAGAACATCACCAGTGACCATCTTGACGTTGACTCCCAGGTTGAGGGCACGCTTGATGGTCTCCGCAGTGTCGTGGCGAGGAGGGTCGTACAGCGGCAGCAGGCCCATCATCTCCCATGGACCCCCAGGGCCGTCCTTGTCGTTGTCCGGCACCTCCTGCCTGGCCACCCCGAGAGCACGAAGGCCGCGCTCTGCAAACTTGTCAATGACATCATGGACCTTGACCTTGATCTCGTCCTTGTCGTGAGCGAGAGCGAGGATCTGCTCAGGGGCTCCCTTGCTCTGGCGCTTCATCTTGCCGTCGGCCTGGTCGATGTAGGTGATGGCAGTCCTCTTGTCGACGGGGTTGAAAGGCAGGAAGTGGAGCTCCTGGATGCCTGCACGAGCCTCCTTGATGTCGCTGAGCATCTGCGTAATGGCTGCGTCGATGGCGTCCTGGTTCTCAACACGGGAAGCTCTAGCAGCAGCCATGACCACGTCGTCCTGAGTGACACCCTTGGTAAAGATCTCAATGATTGCCTTGTCGACCGTGAGCTTGTTCAGGGTAAGGGTTCCTGTCTTGTCACTGCAGAGGATGTCCATGCCTGCCATCTCCTCGATCGCAGTCATCCGCTTGACAATGGCTCCCTGCTTCGCGAGACGGTGAGCGCCAATGGCCATGGTGACAGACAGAACGGTGGGCATGGCAATAGGAATGCCACCAATGAGCAAGACCAACAGGTTGTCGATTCCAGCCCTGTATCCCCGGCCCTGGATTGGGTACATGACAATGATCTCGATGATGATACCAATCGCGATGGAGACGATGCAGAAGTTGCCAATAGCCGTCAAGACCTGTAAAAATGCAAAGCCACCTATTCAAAACATGCCCAAAATGAGCGAGTTGAGAACATTGAAAGGACATTCAATAGTGAATCTGTGTACTTCATTGATCTATCATCCTGGGATGCATGACTGGAATTGTGCTTTTGAATAGAATAGCCGTTGCGAAAGGCAATAATTGAGACAACTTGCAGTGACTCATAATCTGACGCTTGAACCCTTCCTTCGGTGCAGCATTAATTTGCCATTGTCACCTACGCACTTTACAAATGCAATTGTCGAGTGATGCCTTTGTACTTTTCAAATTGCCCCTTTGCATGTGTAGAATGTACATCAACAGGAATAATCAGATTGTGTCCACTTCATGAAAATGTGCGACCATGCAAGGGTGCATGCTTTGATCAAAATACCTTCATCTACTTGCGCTGAACTTACCGCTTGGAAATGGCCAACATTGTTGGTCGTGTCCACCAGATGAGCAGCCTTTCCAAAGAAGGTATGGACACCAGTGGCGATGACAACAGCCTCAAGTTCTCCCTGCTTGACGGTGGACCCAGAGAATGCCTCGTCCCCTGGGTTTTTGGTCACTGGCAGAGACTCGCCGGTCAAAGCAGACTGGTCAATTTTCAGTGCATCCCCCTCCAACAAGCGGCAATCTGCTGGAATAATGTCCCCCAGCTTGATGGAGATGATGTCTCCTGCAAGAATTAACCGAAAACCCAAGTGACTCCCTCAACCGTGAACTCCCACTAAAAGCAGTGTGGACGGAATATCAACGCAGAAGTAGACCATAATGTATCTGACTCCTACCTTTCAAGGGATGCTGACATGGACAACGGCCGACTATCACACACTATAAAACAACATTTTTGAGTAGACAAAGATGCCCTGTTTGCATCTTCACATGTCTTCCAATCAGCAGACTTTTTAGGCCAAAAAGTCACAGGTTCTATATTACATAATCTTTTCTTACCTGGCACTAGTACCTCTGCGTCTTGTTCTGACCAAGCGCCATCTCTCAATACTTTCGTCTTCAAGGACAACTGCGCCATCAGGGCTGCAGCAGCCTTCCCAGCATTGTTCTCCTCCACAAAACTCAGGGTGGCATTGATGGCCAAGAGGAGGATGATGCCAACAAAATCCTCCCAATCTGGAGGCCGACCCTGCCCGTTTGCGAGGATCTGGCAAAAATTGCAAGGGACGAAGTCAGTGCCGCATGTAAACCAAGTAGATCATCTTGCTGATGGACAGTAGCTTCAATTGTCAGAAAGTCAACGTAAAGGACCTCCCACATCAGCCCATCTTGAATCTCACAAGAGGCAACTCTTAACTCCTCACTTCTTAATCAGTAAGCAGAAAGGCTGGTCAACCATATACAATCAGAGGAATGCGAGAAAAAGATTGGTTACAAGGGAGCAATGCCTACCAGGGCCATCAACGCGGCAGCCTCCATCACCCATGACAGAGGGTTCCAGACAAAGCTCAGGAACTTAAGGATCGCGCTCTCCTTCTTCTCCTCAAGCTTGTTCTTCCCAAAGATTGCCAGCCGTTCTTCTACATCCGCTGTCGTCAGACCCTCCTTGTTGCAACGGAGCTGGAGAAAGACCTCATCCACAGGGATATGCTCCAAATCAGCAGTCTCCTTCAGCACGGCATCCAAGTTGCCAGCAGTAGAAGCCTTCCCATGGTCACCATTCGCCTCCATGGCTCAGGCACACACGACACACACAATTGCGGGAGAAAGCTCAAACCTGCTGGATCAAGATACACCTCCCTGTTCAGCTAGCTAAGAAAGCTCAGGACTGCACCATGGCGGCAGGCGCCCCGCTCTCACAATGCATGTGCATGCGCCTTTCCTGACCTGTTTGAGCTTCAACGCAGGGTCATGAGACTCGACGATCAGTCACAGAGCGCTGCGGCTAGGATCCAAGGCGCAAATTTTGGCAGCACCATGTCCCTAATTCGTCTAGGGCCTGAAACTTCTGCCGCAGTTGCTGGAGAGGTACCTCTGGAGCTTCCCCCTTGTCGCTACTACCGGGCAAGTCTTCCGGGCGCTTGTAGTGGTTCTTTTGGACCTGAGCTGGTTCACCCGGCTACTTTTTGTCTGGCCCGGGGCGGATCCTCGGCGGGTAACGGGACATGCAAATGTGATGCCACTGAAAGCGATCCACACCTGAATGATGAACTGGCCGAGGCAAACTTTACTCCTCTCTTCTTGCAGCCAGGCACATGCCGGTTTGATTGACACACATAAAGATTCCATCTTCGCCGTTCGACTCAGCTTCGAAGGCCCAGCCTTGTTGAGGTCTACCAACATCTCCTGAGGAAAAGTGAGCGTCGAAACAGGCCTCACACGCATCGCGCGTGTGTGAATCGCTTATTTACACAAGCACGGGGTACGGACCAGGTAAGTGGCGACCCCGCCAATTCGAGATTCACGCGGCGACCCGGCCGGAGAACGGGAACTTCTAGCAAACCCACCCCCAGACCCAAAGCACGAGATACGGGCTACAGCCACAGCCACAGTTTGATGGGACCCGCAAGCATACCGGTAGGTATGGTCCACATTCTGTACTCAAATTCCGGGTGCCCCGAAGGAATTGTGAGAAAACCTTCGCTATCGCACTTTGCTCATTGAGCTTCTTATCCAGTGACAAGTGGCAATCAAAGGAGCAGCATGTGACGTCAGTGACATGGAAGCAATTTGTCCGGCCCTAACATCGGGCCGGGGTTCCGATCGGACCCGCAGCAAATGAGAATCAGAGAAGCAAAAGCCTGCCAGGCCACTATATTCATGAGCGGAGAGCAGAGCTATGCCACACTACTATCACCTGTTGTTAGTGCACTAATTGCTTAGTGATCAGACTGTAGCAACGTGCCGGAAAGGCTACGACTTAAGCATGATCGTCGCATAAGCTTTTGGGCCGCGCGTCGAGCTCGCCTCGATGCGTCTATTCTTCGGCCCCCAATTACACCATACTAGTTTACCATATGATAGTTTCCTTGCAATTAGCGGAGGCGTCGCGGTGTGGGCCGGGGAGGCCGGATCGTAACGAATGAACATGCATGATTCCATAGGTATGACCAGACGTGCATCATGTAATCTTACGCTTTGCCAATTCTCATGTTCCACCTTGACTCACCATGCAAGCCTGATCGAATGCCGAGCTTTTGTTGCATCCGTCCGGCCCAGTGATCGGAAACTCGTTTACACCGACATGGAGAGCTTGACTCTAAATTGCGGAACAACCCCCCTGCATCTGAAAGCCAAAGGAGCCACCATGCCAAATTGAAGTCCTTCTGAAAAAGTCGAACCATCACCACATCGTCTACTTGATAGCTGGATCGAAATTGTGAAGCAACATGGAAATCTATGGTTGGGACGACCGCATTGTCATTGGACGGCACAGCATGGTGTATTTAATAAAAGCGAGTCTGTGGGCGCTTTGTTGAAAACGCGCATCAGACTCATTAGCCTCAGGATTCGAGTACGCAAGTCAACCGACTTCATTTGCGGATGAGCTGCTCGCATGTGTCCTTGCTGGTCCATTCACGGACGCCAATCGGAGACGGTGATTTCCAAACAAAATGGACGGTTTCTGGGAAGATATGTCAATCAAACATGTTCGGGAGAGGGCGTGGTGACATGAAGACGTCCACCATCTGCACAAGCATGGCGAAGTGACGTCAAGAAAGGAATGAGGGGAAGACCGTTTTGATTCGTCCTTCAACTCGTCCAGAAGCAGAGATCCCCTGGAACCAGTCCGAAGCATTATGCCGAGTGACTTTCAGCAACGGATTGACTCGCTCGATCCAGGTGGAAAACCAAGACTTTGTCCGACTCCTTTGCTAAGGGCCTGCCACATAGATGTGCAGACCAGGACACGGAATCTTGCTTCGATCGCAGGGAAGCCCTGAACCACTTTCCACTTCGCCTGAGTCGATAAGGACAGCCGACCGGAATTGGGACAATGCCCAACACTTCCAAGCCACGGAGGCAAGGAGAGACACGCTGAAAGGAGGTAAAAGCGTAGGATGCTTTTCAGTGGATGGAATAAGCACGTGAAAAACGAAACGAGCCGAAAGGGATGGGCAGCTCGGCTTCACCAGCACCGAAAGGCAACAAGAGATGGCAGTAGAGAAACAAACAAACAGCAGACTCGAGTCAAATTTGAAACCTGCGAAACGACAAGAGAACAAAGAGGAGCCTGAAAAGAAGCCATCACCAAATAGCGAAGTTGAACCGAACAGTCAGCGGAGAATCAACGTAAGACGGGCTGAAGAAGAAAACATCCTCATAATCCATTAGTCATGCTCCAATGAACCCAAAAATTTAGTTTGGCCGGCTAACCTCTTCCGTGACCATGGTCCGTGCGGCCTGGTGGCGCGCAACCATCCCTTGCAGCAACGCAATCAGCGTGTCCTTAACCTCCCCCGTAAACATAACCCCGCTGCCGTAATCCCGCCGGATCGCCTCTAATTGTTCGTCGTCGTCCAGGAAAAACGTGAGCCACTTAAATGGCACGTCGACGTCTAGGTTTGCGCCGAGCGCGCGGTGCTCCTCCTTGGTCTGGCGGCCGCCCGAGAACGCGTACTTCCTAACCTGATGGGTTTGCGAAAGTGGTTTAGGTTGATTCGAATGAGGTGGGGAATTGCGGACATGGGTTCAGTTTATTTAAAACCAGCGGTGCTCGAGTTTAGCGACCGCCCAAAGTTGCGTACTTCCTGACCTAACGGGATTGCTGAAGTGGGTTTGGTTGTCGAAGCGAGTTGCAAGTCTGCAAGGGTGAGTTATGTTGATTCAAGTGAGCTGCTGGTTTGCAAGGGCGGGTTGTGTTAGATCTGAAGTTGCAACTTTGTGAAAATGAGTTAGGTTTCCAAACGGACTGCACCTCGTTGGTTGTACTTTAATTCCCGCGTTGCCCCCAGAGCGCATAAGGGTCGAAATGAAGGCAAGCAATCTGCAAACGGACTAACAGCCGAGCACATCTTCTTTAGTCTACCGCATGCTGTGCCGTGAAGGGCCACTTCTCACTAAATGACAGCAAGCTCTTAGGCCACGAGCCCACAGAAACGGAAAGCTCTCTGTTCCCGATGCTTGTCCTTTTAGATGTCTACGATTCAAATAGCCACGATACCTGAGCTTGATGAGGAGCTATGAATCCACTCTGACAAATCTTTCTTTGAGGCCCTGCGAGGCGCCGTTCCCTTTTCCTTCCAATCTTTGCCTTGCGCTCACCTTTTCTTGTATTTGCTTCGCTGTATCCGTCACGTAGATGGCCGACGTCTGGTCGCTCGCGCTCATTTTCGTGTTTTCGCCCTGCGAGTGTGAAGCATTCTCCGTTAACCTCTTTTTGACGGAGGGCCGCAATGCACACTAGCTTCGAACGCTTGCACTCCAAAAGCCGCTGAGAGAGATTCCGGTGGGCTCTCTTCGTCCGCAGATTCGGCGGGTTTTGCTTTTAGCTGCTCTTTGTGTAGCTGCTTGTGCACAGAGCTTGACCAAGATGAACACTTTGCGGATCCCAAAATGACTGCTTCCGTTGATGTCATTCAACAATACGATGCTCCTTGTAGTCTACACCGTCTCCAATTCCGAACCGATATCATGAAAAGATCTTGGAGTGAATGTAAACCGTCTTTGGTCTCTGCAGAAGCACGGCGGGGCGCTTCCATGGAGCGGTATCAGCCTGTGCTGTTCACCTCCACGACGGACCGACCTTGCTTACCAGGGAACTTATCCCAAGTCCGTCGATACTCAAAAGGTACACCAGCCGTTTTATTTCCAATCTTCTCTTCTAATCTTCCGTTCCAACTCAGTGACAAACATGATTCCGCTCGATTGGAGGACGGGCAGACACAACCTTTTCCGCCCACTTTGATCCAAGTGGAACCATCCAAGCCGCGTCCGTCGGCTCCACGCGAGAGGTGCCATAGTATGTCAACGATAGTCAAAACGCGTTCCGAGGCTCACCTGAAGGGCTGGGAAGAACCGCGACTCTATCAACGCGGGTTTGTGATATCCCAGCCGAGGTGCAACGTCGCGCGTCATTCGAAAGTAAGGGTCCTGCAAAGGAAAGCGGTAGCCAGATCAACGCGCATTGAGCCATTTACTGCGAATTTGGTCGTAGCACAAGCAGAGGCGCAGACTGTAAAGTACCCCTCATGTGAATCGATGGGGCCAGCCACCACATCTGCTGCTAGATACAATGATCGTGACGAGCGCTGTTTGTCCCAACTTGTGATTCTCTTGTCCGCAGCAACAATCTGACTAAGACGTACAGCGAAGCGACGCCAGCATGCATTGAACAGGAATACTCTATCCAGCCGCTATAGCCTTTCATCGGAATCACCCAGCGCGTGCTTTTACCTAGACTAGCACTCTAAAAAAATGCGCCTTTTCTTGAGCAAGTTGTAGTGGTCGATCCGTTTGCTGACAGGAAGCAAGCCCTACTGAACTAAAGAGGCGAACGGCTAACTCTCCGTTCAGCACACACCAAAATCGACACTTCGTAAAAGCCTCAGCTTACTTGGTCTATTGCGCATGGTATGAGACATCGGATGTCCCGATCAGAGCCGAAGAGGTGAGGGAAGGAGGTTGGGAAAGACGGGGCGGCCTGTAAGAGCGACACCGTTACGAAAATGGCAAATCATACTCTTTCGACGGAGCCTGGAATGTTCCAGACGTCACAACAGATGTTAAGTAAGCCTTTATGAGAATGCTGGACCTGCTACAATGCAGACGGTCGTATTGCAGTTGAGAAAGCTATAAGAAGCATTCCGATATGAGCTTTCCAAAAGCTGCTGATCACCAAGGTCGAGCGGCGCTTCGAAATGCCAAGAGAACGCTATTGTCTGCATGATTCCGCTCCAATTCTGTGCACCGATTCCAACGCAAGCCACTTACCTGTACAGGGGGGAAACCAATCTTGCCGATGTTGTCGTCGTTCGTGAACCCGAAGATGCCCTTGACCTGCAAAAATCTCTCTGATTGTTTACTACTGATAGATAACTAGAGCGATTGGACGGACACCGAGTCTCTTCAATGACAGCTTCTTGGAAAAGCGCGGTTGTTGGACCATCGTTTAGCCCGTGACCACCACAGCTGCGATCTCAAGAGGAAGCCAAAGGCTATTTCCCGTTTCTCGGTTGAATCGTGTGCTCCAATCCGTCTTGGAAGTGTTCAATCTCCAATGCAGAAGCCCAACGAGCTGTCTGGCATATCGACTCCTAACCGTACTGCATTTGTGACCAGAAAAGTGGTAGGTGCACCGCTGCAATAGAAGTTCTCCACAACCGGTCCTTCAACTACTGTCAAGCTGAGCGCTTGCAGGCTCCTTTGAGGAGATTATATCACGGGTAATCAAAGCGAGTACACAGATCTGCTCCTTGTATGTCTTGTATCAAAAACGCACCTGGTTATACGTGACGCACCGCGCAATCTGCACGATGTTCCGGTAGAACGGTCCCCCCACGTAATCAAAGTCCGCAAAGATGAACGTTCGCGTCACGTCGAAACCGCACGCAATGATATCCTTCGCGTTCTCTCGCGCCAGCCGCCGTGCTTCGTCGACGCTCAGATTCTTCCAGATGGCTTTTTCGTCGTCCGTCAATTGGATTACCAGCGGCACCTTGAATGCGTCTTGCAGGTATCTGCAGATCAAGTGAATGTTTTCAAGAGCAGAGAATCCTGTATGATGCAGATCTTCCGCTTATTAAAGCGGTGCCTCGGAATGTGCTTGTGGCTCAGAAGATGTGTGTTCTGCAAGTAACTGTGTTTCATAGGAGTGGCTACATAGGAGGTTGCCTACTTCTGATAAGAGCAGACCTTTTGATGGCAGGAGTGCCGACCTTTGAACAGGTCCTATGCCTGCGAGGGCCGTGTTTGCAGCACGATTGTATCTTTGTCTGGATCGGAAGGGATCTCGCAGCAGTTCTCCATTGACTTACCCGGTGGGAGGCCCAAAATTACAAAGAGCCATTATGTTTCTCATGCTTCAGGAAGACCTGGTACGACAAACTGAGTGAAACCGACGACCTGAGCCCAACCGCTAAGCCACATAGCTTTCCTGCATCATGGCTGACAGAAAAGCTTCCTCAGAGAGCTTCCACCCTCTCCCGTTTGAGGGGTTACACGTCAAACGTGCTCTTGGGGTCCCTTTCTAAGTGCATACCCTTTGAATGTATGGTGGTACGACCATGGAACCAGTCGTTCAGCAACTCTCTGAACACAATCTACAGTGTGCCCGACCAATTGATCATAAAGTGCGAGCACCTCGGGATCACATATTCGTCTGTCAACTACAATCAGACACAAGATCTGCAGTAAGAGAAACAGGTGGTGCGCTCACTTCGTGAATTGGAAGGGAATGAGATGGCCAAGGTGGAGCGATTCTGACGAGGGGCCTCGGCCAGTGTACAGGTAGAACTTTTTCCCGGCTTCATATGCATCCAAGATGTCATTGAAATCCCTGCAGTGAAATAAACCGTTTTCTTCTCTCGAAAAAAGGTTGTTTTGATTCATATGGATCAAATGAACAACGCTTGCACCAGGCCTACTGTTTTAAGAATTCAAAGCAAATGGGGTTGAACTTCTTCAGCTATCCATCGCGAAGTGAGCGTCTGGTGGTGGTATGTTTTAACTTTTCGCTCATTAGAAGCTGAGGGAGGATGCCCATTGTCCACTGGAGAGCAAGTTCTGCTGAAATATAGAGAAAGCCTGTTGCTTCTGCCTGAGACATTGCGCCAATCATCCGGCTGAGCTCGGACATATACGCTCAAACAGCTGCAAGTGCGTTAGAAAAGTGGTAAAAGATCCTGGGTGGTACAATCTTAGTACAATGTGACAGCATTATGTTCCGCACAACCTCCGCTTACCTGACAGCAAAGAAGATCCCTCTTTTGAGAAACGGATGTGCCGGCATCCCCGTCAGGCGCTCAACCCTTGCAATTGTTGCCTCGTCCAGTTTCTGACACCCAAACTTCTCCACCAGTTTGTCGTAGTCAATACCCTGACCATCAGCGCCCTGCACCTCCCAGGGGGTCACATTCTGCTCCACGCTCTCCCCCCCATCAGCAGCTACCGCTGGCTCGAGATCCTCGGGAACTGGCGTTGCGACCGCCGCCTCGGCGATTGCCGAATCAGAGGCGACTGGAGACATGGTGGCGGCCAATGGTAGAAACAAGCTTACATGAGGAGCTTCCGATGCAATTTCGAAGACAGTTTTGATCTTGTTCTTGCTACGATGTGGAAACACCTTGACTTGCCAATGCTACTCTCCCTTCTCTCGATCATGAATCATGATGCAAAATTATGCAGTGTAGACTGTAGTACGTCCCGGCAGTCTACCGTAAGCGACGGTTGCAGGCGCCATTGCGGACGTCCTCTTTTTGGGCTCGGATCGGACAGTCCGAACTGCAATGTGGTACGCACCATTACAAAACCGTACGTTGCGGTATCGTACCCGCTGAACTTCAGGTACGCGCGCGCTAAGAAAGTCAGTCAGGGAGCCGTGAAGGTCCCAGACCCCTTGGCCAACCCCCATGGTTCGATCCGTCCTTCCGAATCTGTTCCGGGCTCCAGTCACAGCTTCCCCACCTTCTTGATTGGATATAGCAGATTGCACATCTCGACCGTGAAATCATCTCGATATGAAAGCAGAGTTCTTCGCGCATGTCGAGCCGTCCGATTCTGAGTAGAGGCAAAGGCCCGTAGCGAAGAGAAAGTGTGCAGGTATTGGCACTGAAATAGATACACATTGCGTGAAACAAGGCCTCAAGAAATGTGAATTTGTGAGAGGACGGTCATCCAGAATCTGGCGCCAGCTTCGAATGCGCCGCATTGCTCTTCGCAACCACCATTCGTCTCTCCTGTTTGCTCTCTTCAGATTGTGTTGAGCATACGAAGTACTTGCACTGCGCGAAAAGGACGCCCTAGAGTTTCTAGATTGCAGAGCAGGTAACTTCGTATCAATAATGGCGTCCTCTGTGCTTGCCAAGGTCGGGGTGTCGACGGCTCTGCAGCTGGGGGCGTGCAAGGTCTCAGCCAGCAAGACGTGCCTGAACGTCGCTGCCCCCACCCGGGGCTCATTCTTGGCAGGCAACAAGGCAATCAATGCACCTAAGAATGGTGCACGCGTTTTTGCTCGGGAAGCACCCTACGCCCCGGGATCAGAGGCCCCGGAGTACTTGAAGGGCGAGTAAGTCTCCGTACCGGCCAAATGCTGTGGATTGTAGACTTGTTTGAGTGTTTGGAGCGGGGTTTGTCGAGACTTCTGTCCAAAGAGGTCAATGCTACAGCAAAATCATGGTGCATTTGGATCAGATGAATCATGCCGTCGGTAACTGCACCGTAGAAGCGACTGTACAATCTGGCTGAAATTGATGTACACATTCGCTGGCATTTGCTGTCTGCAAGCTGATTCTAAATGAGATTAGCATGTTAGTTGACAAAGAAAGCTGCAGAAAGTGCTGTGCAGAACTTTGAAAATTTTCAGAATGGACACCTTGTAGACAAAGTACTTTGTTGCTGGTGTTATAGCTATCTGCAGCATATGGTCAATTTCGTTTCCCCAACTCTGAGAGAAGAAGAAGCCGGCTCCAACCTCCGAAAGTTCGTTTGTCATGGTCCTTCCACTCTGAGTTCTATATCATGTTAGAGGCAGTGTGAGGGCTCTGGGGGACTGCAATGACATGAGACGGTGCTACCTTTTCAATCTTTTGCAAGTAGAAAGGTGCTGGGCAAGCCCTGCTTAGGATTCTCAAGACTGGGATCAAGGCAAAGGATAGCTGTCAACAAGTAGATGGCTGCCAGAGATACAAGAGTACAGACAACTCAGAACAGCAGCTTAGATAGGTGGCTTTGTAGCCGGGGGAAGCCACCATGAGCTGGCATTAGATTCTTCTTAGCAGTGTTCCTGGGCAGATTTTGTGGTGCATCTTTGCGTAACAGTGTATTGTTCGCCAAACTTGTAGCTAGCACTCAACCCTGTACTGATTGGTTAAGCAACTTAACTGATATTCCTAGCCTCTTTCCCCTGCCATGGAAAGTCTTCAATGCTGATGGTTTGTCTGCAATCAGAGGCAAAGATAACCATATGAGACGGCTGCGGCGGTTAGAAGGTTGCGCTAACCTTCTAACTTTTTGGCGGCCAGGCTTGCCGGCGACAACGGCTTTGACCCTCTGGGCCTCGGCGCCGACCCTGCCAACCTGAAGTGGTACGTTCAGGCAGAGCTGCAGAACGGACGGTGGGCCATGCTCGGCGCTGCCGGAGCTCTGGTCCCCGAGATCCTCACAAAGGCTGGCCTGTGGAACGCCCCGTTGTGGTTCGATGCTGGCAAAGCCGAATACTTCGCACCCGCCTCCACTCTCTTCCTGGTGGAGCTCATCCTTATGGGCTGGGTGAGTTAGCGAGACTCGTCGCTTGTTTTTTAAAGCTTGTGCATCCAGACTTGTGAGTGCCGGCAGAGACGCAATGATGCTTCCAGGTACGAGCCATCAAACTCTTCCAAGGGTTTTCATAGTCAATCAAAACAGGAAGCAACAAAGCTTGTGTAAAGGATCGTCGGTGTGGCTATCCCACAGCTGCAGCCTACTCCAAATGCAAAGTTGCTAATCACTCTGATTCTCCCGGCAGGTTGAGGGACGGAGATACTACGACATTGTTAACCCTGGCAGTGTCTACCAAGACCCCATCTTCTCCTCAAACAAGCTCCCCCCCGGCGAGGTTGGATACCCCGGAGGCATCTTCAACCCCCTCAACTTCCCCGTCAACAAGGAGTCCAAGGACAAGGAGTTGGCCAACGGTGGGTGTCTCATGAATTCAACAGGTTTTTGGAAGGACCAAGGACTGGAAAGGGATGGGACTTGAAATTGCTCTTGTAATTCACATCCACTGGTCTTGTGGTGAATGTTACTCCTCACTGTAGTTACCTCCGCACGGCGTCCCTGTCCGGATGTCCCAGTCAAACAAACTGACAGCAGACACAACACAATCTGGAGGCTCACATAATATGTTTTTGCCCTTGCAGGAAGACTCGCTATGCTTGCATTCTTGGGTTACATTGCGCAATCACACGTCACCGGCGAGGGCCCCTTCGCCAACCTGCTAGCACATTTGGCTGACCCCTGGTGAGCAATCCAGTCGGAGCTGGACGGACTCTGCTACAAGCTTGCGAATGTCCTTTCGCTGTTCCTCTTGAGGTGTCTGCTGAATGATGTTCAACTAAAATGTTTTTGTGAAGATCTGAACGCCATTTGCACGCGATTGGTACTTAGCTCATTTGATCCTGGCAGTATCTCATGAATCAATCTCTTTCTCTTGCAGGCACGTAACCGTTGTTAGCTCGATTGAGAAGTTCGTGGGCTCGTCATAGAAGATTAAGCCGGGATCATTCATCATAGTGTTGTAAAAATGACCACCAAAGCGACTGTCACATAACTGCCTTTTGTGTATGAATTGCCTGCCAATGTCAAGACTGCCTTCCTCAGGTCCAGGAAAGGCTACGTAACCTGTCATGGTCGTTGTTGAGCAGGAAAGGCCTTGCAAGCTGATGTCTGAATTTGTCAAGATTCGAGTTCGGGATCAATTCCTGGCATAGGATTCGGAGCTTCAGAAGCAGATGCCCATTCTTGACATTGCAAAGATGGTGCAGCCACCGACGCGGAAAACTGTTTTCAGGCTTCTTCTGCTTGATTGTATGCCCAAAGTGGTTGGCGATCAGTTGTGCCACTACGTGGAAGTTGTTGTTGCAGTGACATTCCCATCGAAATGTAGCATGTGCTACCTAGGCAGATGTAACTGGACACTCCGAGGCCTGTATACAAATGACGGTAGTAGGAGCAGCCAGCATGACTTCTGTGGAGATGAAATTCTGGTGAGCGCACCATCGCAATGCAATGCACTTGTGGATGATGAACTCAGATGTATTCCCCTTCACATGCATCCAACTGTAGTTATAACTTGGGGCAGCTGTCACGCACCTATCAATTGTGCAAGTGAACGACTAACATCATGCAATATTGCACATATATCTTAAATCACTTCACCAATGTCCCGGCCATGTTGCAATGATGGGGTCGCTGATAGAACGTAATATTCAACACTTCGAGTCAATCTCTACTAGGCGGTGAGGGCATGTGGAGCGTGTACATATACTTGGGATTTGGCCTTTGCAGCGAGGAAAGATCCAAAGAGTTCCGGCAGAACGGTGAGCCATTATACAGCATACTCGCTGCAAGTCAAGGGTGTGTTCGACCAGGTGAACCGCGAGTCATGGGCCTGTGATTGTAGGCTTCTCTTGACTGTCGGCCCTTAAACGATACTAACCACGGAGTCTTGTGTGACCATAGACAGGGTTTGTACCAATGCCGATTGGACTCATGAAGAGAGCATTTGAGTGCTTCCAGGAACCCCGCTTTTGTGCAAGCCGCAGCAACGGGTAGACATTAAGCTAGACACCATGATCGGACAGATAAGCCCCTAATCATTTCATGCCGACTTGTTCCCAAATTCTCACTTTGAGGCTCTACAATTCAGCCCCCTGCTGCTGTCCCTGGGAGACTGATTCGTTTGAATGAGTATCGACAACGTTACACGGGTGGTGTTGATAACGGAGCGTCTCCCGCTGCTTGCCGATAGTCACCAGTGGTCTTGAAAATCTGTTGTAGATGTGGCTTGCAATAGAGCTGCGAAGTGGTATGAATGGTGCGAGTTAGCAGATATACAATGGCACCTTTCGCGCGGACCTCGGACAGAGGCGTCGTCAAAACAGCTCTTTGCCAGAGTCTTGCCACACAATATTCAGGTTCTGAGGTGGCCCCACAGATTTCAGGTTCTGAGGTGTAGAGTCATGTCGAACCAACAGATGCCACCCAATCGTCGACAAACGGTCCACAATCATGAACGTTTGGACATCCGATGGCAAGTTTGATGCAAACAGCTGTGAAAAACTGAAATCGGCGATCCGGTCCACTTGGGCTCCTCACCTTGCCGTTCATGGAAGCATAGTTGGACGTCGACAGGGGGCAGTTCGCATGGCTGCACTTGAAGCACGCTTTGTGGTAGATCTTATTCTCCACCACAACCTGCACAGATCAACGCAATCAGACAACGCCAAAAAACTTTCAGAACACTATAAGCACCTCGCTTGACTTCTGCCTTTTTAAGACCCGATTGTCGAGTCGACCAAAAACGTCAGACAAATGCCTGCTCAAGCAGAGCACGAGACGAGGTTGTCAACAGCTCAAGGGCGAGTAAGAGGTTTCAAAACGCCGATGCTATCATCGGTATTCCTCACCTTCTCGATGAGATACACCGTTTTTCCACACGAAACGCACTTGTCAGTTGTGCCCGTAAACTTTCCCGCAAGCGGAGACGGCTTTGACGCTTCCTGCAAACGGACAATCAGTCAGGTCTCAGCAATTCGGTAGGCAGCACGCACTTCGTTCACTGCATATGACTGCAATACGGAGGGCTAAAGGAATCGCATCAAACCACAGACAGATCTTGCGTGATGACTCAAGCAAGAGAAGTGAGCAACTGAAACAGAAGCTCAGGAATACTGAGCTATCTTTCCAAAAATCAGGAGTGAAGACAGGAACTGTCATGGATGACAAAATGGAAGTCTGCTGAAAGGAACGTTTCTCACTTTCTTTGCAGAGACCGTCAGATTCTTCACCTTGTCAGCAACCTTGTCTGCAGACGCAGCAGCACCTGTATAAGAAACGAACAGTAAGACTCCTGAATCATGTTCGCTTTGCCCTGGAACAACAAGACTCCCGGGCATGTTTCGTCGTTCTTAGATTGAGAAGCCACTTTTGACAAGGCCGATTCAGGAGCTCTTCGTGATGCATCTACTGGCTCCTCAAGGTGGTAAAGCTGCCATCAACAGTCACGCTCGGAGATTTCCCCGATGTCAGAAGCGAACGCAGTCTGACTGACCTTCGGTCGCTGTGCTTGCTTTCGGCGTGCTTGGTGCCGTATCTGGCTTTGGCGGAGGGAGGCCCCCGGCCGCAAAGTTGTCGCTGTAGTTCCCTTTCAACTTGAACAGCTGCATAAGAGGACAATATTCACCGGGTCACCCCATGAAAAGAAGGAACCTTGTGCATCTGTAGAGTGATATGCCAAATAGAGCCTGCCGGACTGTCGGTCATTGGGAGACCATTAGAACACGCCTCAGAAAACAGACAGCAACGAACGGAGGGCTGTAACCAAGAATTACTGGAAATCTAAAATCTAACAAGATATGAATAGGGTTGCCCCCAGATTGTGTTGGAGTCCGCAGAGGAAAGCCAAGAGTAGAAAGTGCCGAACCTGATTGAAATGGGGCTTGCAGTACACAGCTCCGCCGATTGCTGCATAATTTCCGAGCTGCAGAGAGACAGGTACTTTCAACATTCATCAGCTCACAAGCGCCTGGATAAAATGACAAGCGAGCAGTATGATCAACCAGACACTAGCAATTGCCTCACGTTGTGATTTGGCTTTCTCCTCCGACAAGTAGGCCTTGGAGTATGATGAACTGAATAACAAACTCTCTTGATTCTGGAACTTGAAAAACTTCTCATTTTGGATCACCGACAATTTACGGAGCCTGCTATATTGGCCCAAGAAAAACATGAGCAAGGAAAGTTTTCTTGCTGGCATTGAGGACAGTCACTGGGCGAACTGCTTGTAATGCATAGAATACGTCTCTGAGCTCCTTCTGCTGTAACTTTGAGTTTCTCAGCTGCTCACAAATGCAGAAGGCATTAGAAGGATGATAGGATATGCTCAGGGGTTCACCCCTCACCCCTCACCCCTCACCCCTCACCCTTCACCCCTCTCCCCTCTCTTCCCTCTTTCCCCCTCCCCTCCACCATCTCCCCGTCATCAATTTTGAATAGTCATATATCACAGGATCTGCGTATATTCAGATAGCCTGGTAGAGAAACTTCGTTTTGGAGCGACATTGCTAATCCTTCCAGTGTTGAGTTGGCAGCTGACAAACAAGCTCCGCAACGGTTTGTTGCCAACTCTAGGGTTTGCAGACACAATGATGACAGAGAATCAAAGAGTCAATCTGGACAGGAAGGTGCAGCTTTTGAAAGAGGAACCCCATTGTGCGCATAATGTGAGTCCAGCAATTTAGAAGTTGCATCGCATCGATTTTCCTGGTGCTCACCTTCAGCATTGTGCTGCAGTGCGTGCATCTAAAGCATGTTTTGTGGTAGGTCTCATTGTCGGCAATCAATTGCTCCCTGCAATCGCAGGACAAGGCTTAAAGGGCCGCAATTTGGAATTTGAGTATGACATACACTGGCTTCAAGATGCTGACAAGATCAGATCTTCAAGATGCGCCAACACAAATGCACCACCAACACTACAAAAGTTGCCACATGAGTAAGCTAGAAGAAAGTTGAGGAAAGCAACCCACATTGGATACACCGTCTTGGAGCACTTCTGGCATTTCACCACAGTCCCCGAGAAAGCCGGCGCTCCCTTTGTGGCCGCCATTCTTGACGATTGTGCAGGCGGGAAGGTGTTTCCTCAACCGAATCCCAATAGAAGAGAGAACGTAGGCTAATTCAAGAGCATATAAATCCAAGCACTACCAGAAGTAGAACAATTGAAGAGAAGCGCAGTTCAGATCTGGGCCTTTCTGATGGCAATGCGCTTTCAAGTTCGTGGATTGAGCAATTTGACTTGAATGAGCAGACTGAATTCGTGTGTTGAGATCACAGCGCCAACCCTAATTGGAAATGAGCCACATAATCAATATATTTGCGTAAATTGCTTCTCTCACCACACGTCGTGGACAGGGTTTGGTGCATCTATTGGGAGCCCGGTACTCAGGAAGGATTCAGATGATGCTCCCGGTAGATTATTCACTGGGCAATGACTTTCAACGAATATAGCCGTCTGGCACGGTCATACGCCCACAAATAAAGTCAATCGCAGATCAGAAAATACCCGATCGAGCTGCTGTAGCCTGTAGTACCTAGCGCGCAAAGCTAGCTCGTCTCTCATGCCATTGGAATTTGGAGAGGGAAGCCTAGCACCAAGGACTTCGGCTCGGGGCGAGCTGCGCGATGGCGGCGTCATCAAGCATCTTCAATTGTCAACTCATCTGAAAACTACATTGAAGGGGTCACCATAATATCTAGCTCCTGTTCTCGATGAAAGCAAGCTGACGTGTATTGGAGGCGCGTTGGCGAGTTTGCTTTCATTACGCCATTGAAATGGACACCCCGTCCCCGCGCCAGCTGAGGCCTCGTCAAGCCGCGAAGCCGGCTTGCTCGCCTGAGAAGCCCTGCTCTTCTTGCATGCCCATCGTCGCCCGGCGGTTGTTCTGGTCGGCCCCAAAGGCTCCTGCTTCCATCAGTCCAGGACAGGACCCTGTGGAAGTGTTAGGGGAGGACGTCTTCTTACGGATTCTGGGGTTTGTTGATTCCCGTGCCCTTGCGACGTGCACCCTAGTGTGCAAAAGCTGGGGAGGGCTGGCGAGGGAAGACGGCCTGTGGGAACAGCATTTGGACGAACTGTGCCGGGGAAAAGCAGCGGTCCCGAAGGTTGCGTTGACGGCGGAGTCGAAGATGGTGGCGTTTGGGGCGTGTCTCCGAGATGCCAAGAGGGTGGGTGCATTGATTTAGTGCAGATGCGACTTCATGTATTGGACGTCAAAAGACTGCATTTTAAGGTCAAGCTTACGTCTTGAAAGCCATACTTAAATGCTAGCTCATTCCAGCTGCTTTTCAAAACCATTTCAGGACAGGTTACCCATCAATGAGCCTGGTATGACCCCATCGGACTCGAATGCATCCTGAGTGAGCCAGTGCTGCTTAGCGGAAGCCGCCAACATGTCCACTAACAAGTTGAGAGTCTTCAGTTCTACCCCTCGCACATCGGAAACGCACCCTCGTACACTGCCCTTATCTTGCCCAATCATCAATCTCTGTAGTGCAGTTAGGGCACTCAATCCATCTTTCCCTTTCAACAAAGGTTCATTCTTCATGTGACTTTGCCCCCCAAATTTGCAGGCAAAGATCATGGTGCAAGACCTCTGCGGTACGGCGTTTGAGTTTCGCTTCAAATGGGTGAGGCGTTGCCCCACGATCGATTGATCGGAATCTCTGCTTCTTGAAAACGGAGAGAGAAGTCGGTCTTGAGAGTCTTTTACTACTTGCAGTGCATGGCTGGTTGTCAGTGTACCACAGACTTTTGTCAACTTGTGCCTCAGCTGGAAAAGGTCCTACCGCACAGCATTTTGCTAGTGTATTCTCCAGGACACAAGGCCGGCATGACCACAGGGTTCCTGTAAAGTCATCATGTATAAGCGGTCGTAGACAGGGGTGAACAACCTACAAACGCGTATGCCCTCGCACTGTCAAATCCTTGTACTTTGCTCCATAGAGAGATGATGTGCTCGCAGATTGACCAGATTGATTGGCCCCTAGGCTGTATTTCTCCCAAAAAACGCTGCTCGTTGCCCTCGGTTTAACGATAAAAACCGAAGCCCCTTAAGTTTCGAAGGAGTTGTCTCGACTCTTGTTTGACGTGGGTTCTTCTTATGCCTCAGTCGGCGGGAGACTTTTGGCGAAATCTGGACCCCAGCTGGCGGTCAGAGCCTCCATTTATCAGGTGACGCTGCTCACATTCTTGGTCGATGTTTGTTGTCAACCTGTAGAAAAGAGTCCTGTCTTTGTTGCTTGCTGGGCCTATAAGCCTGTAAGTTCGTTGGATTACAGTCTTGCTCGATCAGGTCTACAAAAACTTTCTCTGGATTGAACGCGCCACGCGGTTCGCCCCTCTCGATTCGTCGTTGACCGCATGCTGAGACGGGGCGGGGCCCACAACTATTTTACAGCGACTCAATCTTTTGTTGAAAGAGTTTAAATTGTATGCTCAGCCTTTTGACCGTCGGAAAAGCACATGACTCATCTAAGAAGTACATACTGTCTTTCCAAAAGACAGTCTTCGTTTCCTTCAATGAGACAGACAAGTCGTCTGCCCCGTGCGACATGCAATGGCCGAATACGAAATGTCTGCGGAGGACCAGACATTTTGCGCAGAAGCGTCTGGTTGAAACTCCGATTCGCCATATACGAGCCACTTTCGTACTTGTACACAGCTCTTCGAAACCGTGTCTAACAACGTGAACTTGCACCACATTTACCAAAGGCTCCTCACCTCTCACTCTTCGTACCTGTACGTTTCCGAGACTCTTGTCATCTCAAAAGTTAGGGAACTGAGCGGGATTCCAGTCAAATCCTCGCCTGCAGGGTTTTCCATCCGGACAACGTTGTCAGCCCGGGTCCTAACGACACAGTCTTCAACGACATGACCTGGAAGTTTACCAAGACCAAAGACGGGAAGCCCGGGCGCTACGTGAGGATAAACCAGTGGCCGAGCCTTAACGTCAGCCGGACGGAGAATTGGGGATGGACTTTGCAAAACTGCTGGGTGATCTACAGCAGCATGTCGGACAGCGAGATGGGCAGGAAGCTGCCGGCAGACTTGCGCGAGCAGATCGTGAGCAGGCGCTAGTCAGACACGAGTTGTAGCCTATCTTGTACATACGCATAATCAATGTGGGGGTAAAATCAGCATCGAAGTTCCTGAAAACAACCTTCTGTACATACTTGGTAAACGTGTTCTTGGAATTGTATTGAGCCGTTAATTTTTACAGTGCACCAGTGAGCATCGCTTACTTACACCGAGACAGGCTGGGCAGTGGAACAATCCAGAATTTGCGTACATAGCCTGGCAGCTCGCAGAACTCCAAGAAGGCAATAAGCACAGGCTGACCTTGTATAGAAGGCTCTGCGGAGTCTGAGAGTCTGAGGTCTCTTGGGAACTTAACAGGAAAAGCTCTACTTTTGAACAGCTATCTGTGCCCTGTTGATTGATTCAAGTCGAGTCCAGCCGCAGGACTGTTCAAACGTATACCTGGCACTGCCGCCAGTCCGTCCATCACAATCGCATGCAGTCCGTCGCCTGTCTGCCAGCAAACTAATGTCCTTTATAGGCTACCTCAGACGCCGAGTCCGCGAGTTAATCCTTCTCTTGATTGTAGGGGCGGCCAACATGCATGCATGATGGTGAACTTTACCATGCGTGTTGACCAATGATGCACGCGCGTCACTTCTGGTTCTTGCTTGTGGAGCATGGCTGGCCCGCGCATGCATGCTGAATTAACAACCCATGCTGCAAGGCTCCCGGGGTCAACGTCCATACGTTCTTGTGCAAGGACGACGTCCTTGAGTGCAACGCAGAAACGCTCTGCTTTCAACATCGAACGTATCCTTTGGTTAGATCAGTACGCACGGTGCCTATTTATGGGCGCTCGTGAAGTCAGGGGTGGGCTCTGTGATTTCGCGTTACCTTGTTTCTTCTTGCCGTACCATCTCAGCAATCTTCCTCAAGATCCTTCTTACTTAAGAAAGTGCAGGAATACCTTTAAGCGACTGAGCGCTCGACTGGGATCATGATTGCCTAACAGTAAGGAGGCTTTTGTCCTGGAGCCCAGCTCTCTCCAGCGTGACTTGACTGTCCACGAGCGACTGCAAGGACCCAAACTCGTCGTCAGATTCCGCCAAAGAAGAATCTTGATGGTATCCGCAAGTTGGAAAAAATGTATTGGCAAGCCAGGAGAGGTCTCCTCTTCTGCCAACTTCTGTCAAACAAGTCTTCTTCTTTTGGGTTGTCAATTTTAGTCTCCGTCAGGCAAATGACCACATGGATTCCGCGATTAGAAGCTGGTTCCGGAAAATGCACGCACGTTCCTTGCTTCAACCGAAAAGGTTCATCTCTGAAAAATCGATTACGCGTCGAGATTCCCACTCACCAGCTTGTCTCCTCCTGTGGCTGTCAGCACCGTCTTGTCCGTATCCACTCCCTCGCCTCGCAGAAACGTCAGCAGATCCCCCACCGTGGCCCCCGGTCCAAACTTTCGGCTCACCCTCCGCCCGTCGAGCATCCGAAACGCCAGCTCAACACCCCCCCCGGCTGCGTCCCCGGGCCCCTGAGACGTGGCCGTATCAGCGGCGCTGACGTCAATTTTGGCCCCGCTGACGTCACCGCCGCCCTCGCTTTGACTCGTGGCCGGCCCGCTGGCTGCGGCCCGCGCCTCCACCTTCGCGCGTGCTGCCGCAATCTGGCGGGAGAGCGCGTCCTGCTTGATCTCGAACTTGGGTTTCACAAGTTCCGTAACATTCCCCCCCTCTTCGCCCGGGCTCGTGGCTTTCATCCCCTCGCCGCTTTGCCCGGACGGTTGTTCCCCCGGAGCGTCAGACCCCCCCAGTTTTTGCCCCTTCCCACTCCACACCCCGGGCCCCCCCTCCGCTTCCCGCGGCTCGCTCGGCGCCCGCTTCTGCTCCCCAAACGAGTCGCCTAAACTGGCGGCGATCGCCGCAGCCAGCTCCGGGTCCTCGTCGCCCCCCCAGGGTGAATCGGCACCGCCCAGTTGTGAACTGGCACCCCCCCAGTGTGAACTGCCGCCCCCCGGGTAGGAATCGGCTCCGCTGGTGCTCGGCCCTGCGTCCTGCAAACTGGCCGCAATCGCGGCGGCCATGTCGTCGTCCGGAGCGTTTGAAAGCGTGGGCCAATCGGACGGGTTCGACTGCGGGTTGCTTTTTGTTTCCTTGCGCTTGGCCTCTGCGTTGATCGCCTCTGCCTGCTGGGGGGTCAGCCACCGGCCCTGCCCGCTGCCTGCAAGGGTGTGAGCAATCGTATAATAAGAGGACGGTGCTGAATTGGGTGGGAATACTGTAGGGGGTTAGCGAGGGTGCGGGTGTGGAGCGTGTAAACCTTTCGGTTAACGTTTTGTTGAGATCAAGGCTTGCTTAACCAGTACACTTCCTCTTCGCCGATTTCAGAACTACGCAGTGTTGGCAGTCACGAGGATAGCAATCAACATAAACGGAGTTATGGGAGATCGACCACTTTAGACACACGTAATTTTCTTCAATTCGAGTTCTGTCAGCGTCTCTTACGGAATCCAAACTGTTCAAAAAAACGGTTGGAGAAGTAGAACACAATCTGCTTAAGGGCTGTGAGCTGCATTGGTATTATGATGACTTTGGCGCCACCTTCAAAGGGAATCGTGCTCCTGCTATCAATGAATTTGAGAAATCAGGAGACTGAAAAGACCAGCATCAATATTGACGCTGCCTTCAACGCTCACCCGATGAGATCTGTTGATCAGTAGGACCTGACGTTGATGATGATACTCGTAACTTACTCGTAACCCTGTATGACGTACTTCTCAAACGAGAAGGGACGCTTTCTGGCCACTGGCAAACCGACCAGCATATATGGGAACGCATTTGGGCGGTATTGTGTCACTCACTATTCGTTCAGGGTCCAGAGTACGTCCTTCAAAGGATCATCCAGGCCACAGAACGGATAACCACACCTTACCATTCAAAAACTCGCCCTTACAAGCTCCAAACAACCTCAGGATAAGAGAGAAAAGTAGGGACCGGACAGGGTCATTTACCTGAGAACTCGCTTGCAACCGACTTCGGCAGGTTTCCTTGTACTGCGAAGATTGTGTAGCCGCCGTCCTTGAGCGATCCAAGATAGGCAGCGAGGTAGAACTGGGAGAGGTGAACGGGGGCTGGGTATAGGCTGTTCATATTGTACCTGGTTTCAAAATTGAAACGGCCTTGTCTTAGGGAGTGGACATACCATTACTCGACACTAGTAAAGACACAATGGAGACGGTCCCATTCGAACAAAGAGATGTTTTTCCTGAGGTAAGGCTGAGTATCATAAGAAGGAAGTCGGAAAGAGACACGAAGTCGGTTTGGTGCAACGCAGACGTTTCTGGAAGTCAGTCGAATTGCACAACTTTCGAAGTGAGCGCGCAAAAACGGACCGAAATCATGCTTGCGGATGGAACAGTCACAAAGCAACCTCCCTGTGGGGCTTAGCTAGCTTGGACAAGCAGATCAAGGCTAGGCATCAAGGCCTTACCACTCAGAGCCGATCTTTCTAATGGTAAACCAGTGCTGCTGGAGATTGCAAAGAAAAGCCTCTTGGTCGTTGTCCCCCATAGCTGCTGCCTCAGGGCTGTCCAAATGCACAAAGATCAGGCCCCAGACTTCCAGCGCCTTGCTGAGTACCTGCAGAAAAACGACCGCATCACGCCCTGCTGCAATCTCCTAGACGGTGTCACACAATAGGTACATGTTTTCGACAAGCTTGTACTTCAATATTTGATGGACGACACCGAAAATTAGATAGATGACAGCTGCCTTTCAAGAGAGTTTTCGAAATTCCTCAGCAGAATCTCATCAAGGTGGCAATTGAGAGGCAAGAGGGCCAACCATCACGCCAGGTCATCAGCCAGATCAAAACCAGAGAAGACTTTCATTGGATTTAAGTCCTTCTTCCAATTGAGCACATCAGTGTCTATGCCAGACTTGCCTGGATGCTGAAGTTTCCATCTGCAGCAACATTCCCAGACTCCTCAGCCATGAACTTGAGGTAGTCGGATGACTCCAGGCCGCTCTCCGCCATCATCTCCCTCTCATTCTTGTCCAGTTCGAGTGCGATCTGAGAAAGGTCGACTTCCGTGAAGTAGGGGCCTTGCACTGCAGAGCACAGTCTGGCGGGGGCTCAAGAATCCGGTCATTACTTGTTTTCCAGCTTGAGTAACAAGCAACCAGCAGGAGTATGGCACCCTTTTTGCAGAACGTGAAAAAGTAGAAAGTAGCGCACTCTTCTAGATTCAGCAGGCAACACGGATCTGTATTGTTCTTAGCCTGAACGTATCCTTCTGAGGGATGCAGCGTAATGTTCAGTCAAACGGAACGGATGCAGATTACCACGGTGCTGAGTGGACTTTGATGCGCCAGAAGAACAAATTATCATACTTGTAGGCAGAAACATAAAAAAGAAAGCCAGAGTTCTTGGAACCGTGTAGGATGCTCAATGGGACTTCTGCCAGTGGCAGAGAGTCCAACAGCCTTCATTTTCAGGACGGAACACCAATAACAATCATGAGGAATAAAACAATACTGTCTCTGCTTTTACCCCAGAGTATCCCAGTAAAACTGCAAAGGTGGAACTCTTTGCTGATCTGGAGACACTTACGCAGGGTGTTCAATGCGTGGACGCCACATATCGCTGACTCCTGCTTCTCATGATACAGAAGTGGTGTTTCTTCCATCCTCGTGGCTGCCGACAAATGGCCTACGAAACCAATGGCAATTGAGCTCGCTAGCCAGCCAGGCTGCAGCAGGACAGCACGGGCAGCAGGACTTGCCTGCAAAAGCGGCCTTCCTAGCTCCGAGCCTCGGTCCGAGGCTCTTGCCCTCCGAGTCCGAGAGAAACGGGTGAAGAAAGTGTTTCCTACATGCATATTACATAAATCTTAAACACATGCCAGGTGCATACATAGGTGTAAATGCCATTGGAACATCTGCAAAGAGCGTATATGTTTGTCAGGCCAGCTTATGCCTTCTGATCGATAACCAGTGTTTCTAACCCCCGTGCTGTGCAAATCACAGGTAGACGTATTGAAGAGATTGAAGCAGTCTCGTAACCAGGAGTTTCTTAAACCTTACGTAAACCGTTACTGTATTTAATAGGCTCTCCGGCATGGGTTGCAGGGACGACAAAGGACAGTCCCTCATATCTACTCATGTATCCGGCTTGGTATTCTATAAGATTTATGGGGAAATTGAAGAGCACCATACAACGACAGGTGCATACGTCCTAGACAAGAGAAAGAGGAGAGCTAGGGCAAGCAAGGCGAGAGTGAGGGAGGGCGCAGGAAGGAGGAGGGTAGCCAAAGGAAGGTGGGGAAAGCTCGAGTTCCTGTCTGTCACGGAAACTGCGGTTGGTGTACATCAGATGGTAGCTGAAATGGTCGCTTTCACCTTCCTGTTTTACTCGTAGAAGCGGCTTCGTTGAGCTGCGAGTGGAAGCCAGTCTGTACCCTTCTGAGAGTTCTTTGGTTGCTAGCGTTCTGTCACCAAGAGGCTAAGGCACCAGTCCCGAAGGGAGCGCATTGTCTTGTCACAGACACTGTGCTCTGTGAAGCAGCGACATGGCGGAGTCCAAGGTTATCCACGTGCGGAGTGTTGGACAGGATGTAACTGAGGAAGATGTGCACCAGTTTGCTCAAGAATTCGGGACCGTTACCAAGGTGGTCCTACTCCGTCCAAAAAACCAGGTCAGTGATCTGCGAGCTTGCACTCTCAAGCCATGGCTGCACCTACAGAAGTGATGCATGGTGTCTGGGATACATTCGGTGTTCCTTTGATGGATCAGGAATGTGAAATGCGCCTCGCATTTCGTTCAATGAGTCACTATCGTCCTACACTAGCAGGTGCATTGACGCCCCAAGGGTCTTTTTCTTGGATACTCTGCCGAAATAGTTGGTGCTCTTGAAGCGAAAAGTGCTTTGCTGGGGTCACTTACCACTCAATGTCTGATCAATGCTTGATGTTTGTAAACTAGTTATGTGGATGATGCTCTCGCGTCCATGATTTCAATGTTTGTTTGGTGTCTCACCGCTCTTTTCTTAGTGCAGGTGCTTATTCAGATGGAGGATATTCCTTCCGCTAAGGCGTTGATTGAAGCATATGCTGAGACTCAGCCGGCGATCAGGTAAACTTTGCACCCTGTTGGAAGATTTCCACCACCGCAAGCACCAACTTCTCTGACCATGTATGTTTTGTCCAGCAGTAGTTGTTTGATGCTAAGGCTGTTGTCTGGCTAGAAGTGGCAGTTTCTGGACGTGCCAAGTGCTTTGATCAATCTTGAGCGGCAGTGCATTTTCAAGACTATGGTGCTGATGACAGTCTCAAGCATTTTCATCGGCATGCTTGGGGTTAAGATTTGTGGGATTGGAGACTTTTGCTGCTCATTTTGCCACTTTTCTTTGGAAGAGCCACTCTGGTGCGGGAGATCAAACACTGAAGTGCTTATGCAAGCTTGCCAAGTGCTGCAGGGGCCGGAACGTGTATGTCCAGTACTCCTCTCACCAGGAGTTGAAGGCGCAGGAGAACCATGCACCTACTCCCGGGGAGCCGCGGGAGAGGAGAGAGCATGTGAGTGCACCGATTGTTTTCGAAGCTTGCTGATGATTTGGGTGTATCCTGGAGTCATTCCAGATCCGGAGATTGAACACCTGGAGGAGCTGTCTGGAGGATGGATCTTGCACAGAGAGGAGTGGTGCTCTGCTAAATAAAGGTGGCCCTCCTCTTCTTATGTTTTGTGCATGCTTCGTTGCTAACCTCTTGTGTCAGATCAGAGGAAAGTCTTCCATGAAGCTGCCAGTCTGGCTGGCGGCCTTCCACCATTGGAAGGGGCATTGATGTGCACTTATTCCACTACCAGTCAGACGGTGCTTGCTTCTCCGCTCTGTTCTCGCTCTGACCACTGACCGCGCGCCTGTCGTCCCCACAGCCTGAGCAGCGCCCCAATCGCATTCTGCTCATCACCATCCACAACCCTCAGTATCCCATCACCGTCGACGTCCTCCACCAAGTCTTCTCCCCACACGGCCTCGTTGAAAAGATTGTCACCTTCCTCAAGCAGCCTGCTGGTTAGACCACTCGCCCCGCCCATCTCTCACTTCTCCATGCTTGCATTCTTGCTTCATAGCTAGTGGTAGTAAGGCACACTTAAATCGCTTTTTAGAAACACGCCGTGGAGTAGGCACTTATTTGAATGACTGGCGTGCTTGGTCATGCAAGCTGATGCTGCAGAAGATGACCTAGAAAAGCAGGGGTTAGATAAGCTGGGAACATTGAGGTTGTGGAACTCTTTGGGCACTGGCTTTGCAGGCATGCCGCTCCAATGCAGAAGTAGCTTGAAAACCATCCTGACTTACCTAAGAGCAAGTTATTCCAGTGCCTGACTTTCTTGTTGCTAGTTAAAGGAGCTTATGGACCCATGTACGAAGTTCTACACTTCTCGTGCGCAGGCCTGCAAGCTCTGCTACAGTTTGCGCTGCAACAAAGTGCGGTGAACGCACGCTCCCAGCTCCAAGGCCGCAACATCTACGACGGCTGCTGCACTCTGGACATCCAGTACTCCAAGTAAGGCACATCTCTCATAATTGACAAATGTTGATGGGGGGCACATATGTGTGGGCTTGTCAGACTTTCTGGCTACCTCTTTGTGATATAGGAGGAGTATCAGCAAGGTAGTCGCTAGTCTAGTAGTCGCTAGTCTAGTAGTCGGTAGTCGCTAATTGCTAGTCTAGCAATCAGCGCTTCCTTTTGGCTTCTTATCAGTCTCATTGCCCAGTACTCCTCTTTGTATTTGTATCACACACCAGAGCAGTTGTTGAACCGTTTTTGCGTTGTGTACCAACACCTGTGTTCCTTGTGGCAGCCTTCCTGAGCTCCAGGTCAACTACAACAGCGACAAGACCCGGGACTACACAAACCAAAACCTCCCCACCGATCAAGGCCGCAATGGGCCCCAGGGAGCCATGATGGTGAGTGGATCTCGCTAATTGGTACATGATGACGTATGGGATAGTGTACGAGGTAGTACATGGGGTGCGTTCTTCTGCTCCAGCCGTCCTTCTTGGAACTCTCAATCAGTCCGCGCAGAAGCGGCGCTGGGTTTCAGAAGCGTCATGTATAGAATTGCGGTCCTGTTTGCATGAGCTATGATGCTCAACACTGCTCGAACTTATCCTAGTGTCCACTCCCAACAGAGGCAATGTTGTTTGGAATATGCTTTGCTCATCGTTTTCCAATTGTCTTCTCCTACTATGATGCATTCCTCGGATACTCATGTTGCTCCTCGATTATTCCTTCTCAGCAACAGCTGTTTAGAACAGTTTGTACACAATTCCAAGTAAAATTGCGATTGCCCAACTCTTTGCATTGGGATCTCAGGAAGACGGCCATCAAAGTTGAAGTGCTTTTCGTTCCGTCAGACCCCTTTTTCAGTTGTTTGTCACACCCACTCTTTTGTCCCACTTCTCCTCCCAGCAGCAGCAGTCGCTATTTGGCGACAGACGCTGCCTTCGTCCACCACCGCACCACGGGGTCCCTGGCTGCTCCCGTGGCCGTTTCGTAAATTCATTCCTTACTTCAAGTGTCGTGTAATCTTTCAGACACTCACACAGCTTGTCTTGTGCTCCCAGCAGCAGCAGTCGCTGTTTGGCGACGGCAGCGTCTACGGCGTTGCCCACCATGGGGGCCCCCGGCCGCACCCCGGGGGCCCCTACGGGATGCACCAGGGTATGCACCCCAACGTGCAGCTGCCGCTCGGGGTGCCAGGCACCAACGACCGCAGGGTCGTCCTGGTCTCCAACCTCAACGTAGAGGTGAGCCACGTGGCATGTGACAGCTGTCGTGCAGAGGAGGATGCTTGCGTGATTGCGGATTCTTCGAGAGGAGCTTCGTCCATACTGCATGTCAGCTCAGAGACCAGTCCCAGTTGTGTGCTTTACGATTCGCTTTAGATGGAGAAGTGCGTGGAAGAGGGTGGTGGTTGGAGGACGGGCGAAGCAGGGCAAAGACGACATGTAACCCATTGCTTATACTTCAGAGGCCGGAAAGCGGCTAAGCATTTTTTTTATCACCCACCATGGAGTGCAGGAGTTCCGCTTGTTTGACAATTTCCTGATCTGGAAGGTACAGCTGCCAGTCTGTAGCGGGTCCGTTTGTGACAGCACGAAAGGTCAGCTTGTTGTCAGGTAACTTGTTTCTCCAGTTTCCTTCGCCACCAGATTTTGGACCCCGGTCGCCATTCGGTTGTCTCGCGAGCATCACGATTGGAACAGTGCAATTGAATCTCTAACACGGGGGCGATTCAGCGTCCCTCATTGCGCCCCTATTCTAAGCGTGCTCGCACATTGATTTCTGCAGCGCGTCGACCCTGACAAGCTCTTCAACCTCTTCTCCAACTATGGCAACATCGTCCGGATCAAGATGCTCCAGAAGAAGCCCGACCACGCCCTCATTGAAATGGCCGAAGGCTTCCAGGCCGAGCTCGCCGTCCACTTTCTCAAGGTGAGCCAATTGCGCAAGCTGGGCATCTGGCGAAGCCGAGAATGTAATTTGTTGTTGCAAGGCTGTGTCAAGCATTCGCAGCAGTACGGTTTGCCTGGGTGTTGATGCCTGAAGAGCAGTGTCTTAACGAGAGAAACAAATGATTTCGGAAGTAATGAGACAAATCGGAGGAACTTCGAGTAACAAGCAGAGTCGCCCACGGGCTTGTCTCCTCATCGTTGATCCTCAGAATTCGTGATTCGACAGGAGGGGCAGTGAAATACGTGGGCTCATATTCATTGTCCTGCGAGTTGACTGCCCGTCGATCAACCGTTGAACTTCAACCATTGACTTGTTGGTGATGCCCGGAAAGAGGGCCCAGTTTGCGCTCTCAGCCAGGCTCTCGTTGAACAAATAGTGCTGACAGGTCAAGTCGACGCTCGATTGTCAAATCTGCGACCGCCGGTTAACACACTTTATGGTCTTCGTTGCGCAGGGCGTGATGCTGCTCGGGAAGCAGATGGACGTCAACTACTCGAAGCACCCCCACATCAACCCCACCCCGGACTCGCACGACTACAGCCACTCGAACCTGAACCGCTTCTCCCGCAACGCCTCCAAGAACTTCCGGCACTGCTGCGCGCCCACTAAGATGATTCACTGCTCCAGCCTGCCTGCTGACGTCACTGAGGAGTCGATCACCGAGTACCTTGCACCGCATGGGACGATCACGGGCGCAAAGCTGTCGGAGAACAACGGGAAGAAGCAGGTGCTGGTGCTTTTTTCGAGCGAGGAAGAGGCAACGGAGGCTCTTGTGCAGAAGCACGCGACTAAGTTCAACGGGTCCACCATCCGGCTAGCGTTCTCCAAGCTTACATCGTTGTAGTGGGGAGTGTATGCGAGAAGGTGCTTCCTCTTAGAAAGACGTTGACACAGATTGCTTGAGGAGAGCTGTTTGTAGTGTGCTAACATGCGGGGTGGGTGTTCAACTCCACTGACGACAGTCAAACCTTTCAAGGCGCAGGAATGACCCTGGACAGTTTTGACCAGAAGAGCGGCTTTGGGGTGGCAGCCCCATGAGGCGGGCAGTGCTATTGGTGATGTATGTTTTGGCTGCATCAAACATGTCATGAGCCTCTAGGGGCGGCATGTGCCGCTTGCGATTCCTTTCAAAACATTCTGCACTTGCTTACGAAGTTTCATTGCCGCAATGCTACCTTGAGCTGGCCGGCGTGATCCGGCTGAGCATGCATCAGATAGCAGCTCAAGCGCAGTGCGTTTTGCATGCATTGTCTCAATGTACAATCTTCTGTACCTTAGTAGAACCCCCCCCGTGACCACTCGATTTCATGATTACTTATAATTTCTTATCATATGGCATGTCGCTTAAGTGCTTGGCAGGGCCGCGCTGCAACCGTCCTTACAGCGTGATGTGGAGATGATATGCAATTTCGAAATATATATGTGACAATCAAGTTGGCGGCCGGCCTGGGAATACATAGCATGTGAATGATTGCAACGAATTTAGCGATCCATACTATGGCCTAGCATTTGCCGCCGATCGTGCGATTGGCATGCCTGCATGGGTTGTGCAAACGTAAATGGTTCACGTACGTAGATTGTATTAAAAGATTCAAAGCTTGCAACGGACTCGACGGACGGTGAGCTATAGGAACGATCAGCACGCGAAAATAAAAGGTTATTTCTACAAGCCTCACTATATCCAACTGACTGCTCTGCAGCTGCGCACCTGCATCACTGAGGGCCGCTAGGCTGCACCGAGTCTCTGGAGAATGGAGCTCGATACTACACGTGCATTAAGCCGTCTAGCTGTGGAGCAATTCAGTTTGTCAGCATAGACCGTCCAACATAAACGACTTGACTCATCAACTTGCAGTTTGAAATCGCCGAGTGGATGCTGCTCAACAAGAATGAAATTTTGCAATCAAGAGTCCAACGGACGGCTCATTACACAGAAATATCGGGATGGTCAGATAGAAGAATCGTATTCGGATTACACAAGAATGCTTCAAACAAGGTGAACGTTTGGGGATGCGTGGGATTCAGACTTGTGCAGATTGCTGTTCTACTCCTCTACATGGACAGAAGCAAAAGCCTGCTATTTATATTCCTGCCGTGCGTTTATGTATCCAATCTGTGAGCCATATTGCAGTCCCGCTATCCATCCAATGCAGACGGTCAACGAATGCACCTGCTCCTCAAGTGATCAAGAGGGCCTTACAAACACATGGACGTGTGCCAGCAACATGCCTAACAATCAAACAACGGGTTCTTCGTCTGGGTTGCAGTCGTACTCGAACAGACCACAGGGACCTGCAAGGAGCACATTTCTCTAAATCTTCTATGCTTAACGAGACAGGATAAGATCCAAACCATCATGCAAACAAAACCTGCTTAAAAGAGCAATCATTGAGACGGGCGGCACAGGCTGAAGGCTTTGAGTTTACACTACTTGATACTTGGAGCGCTCGGATGCGCTGCTCTATCATCAAAATAATCATCTCAGAATTGCAACAAGAGTTCCTGTCAACACCACTGATGCAGGAAGCAGGAGTCGAGGTACCAGAACGCAGGTTCTGTCTTCATTAGAGATTTTACATTAGAAGGGAATAAGGTGCGGCAAGGATGAAAGCTCACCCCAGGGGAATGCCTTGTTCCTGATGTGCAAGTATGAGTACTTCTGCAGTGTAACACGTGAGGACGATTGGTTTCGATCGGTCAGTCACCTACTACTCAAACCAATCTGGTCAATTGGCAGCTGGTTTGCCGATGAATAAATATCCGTCGCAAAAAACGTTGCTTGATTGGGGACACTGCTCAAACATGCATTCGAGATGAATGACCAAGCCAAGAGTGGCAAGAAACTCAAAGAATCAGGATCTCTGCTCAAGTAGAGAACAAAACCTGCTGATTGGTATTGTTCAACCTAAGGTTTCGTGCAAATGCACTTTACCTTCTTCTCATGGTGATGGTGCTCTTCAGGGGCAATGACGAGGTCGTAAGCGGTCAACCCAGCGCAAGCAACAACAGCAGCGATCGAGACATTGCGCCACTTGGCCATTTCGGCTGCCAACATGGACAGGAGGGGGGCAGGCAGATCAACAGAACTGAAATAATTGGCAAAAATTCCTTTATAAAAGCTCAGTCTGGTTTGTATCTCAAAGTGGTCGACGGATTGTAACCGCGCCGTCATGCCTGAAGGCAGGATTTGAACCATGAGAGCTTTCAAGGAGAGAAACTGGAACATGAGAAATGAAATCGAAAGGCCAGAAGCAGTCGCCGTCAAGAAACTTCTTAGATTGATGTCGTAAACCCCCTGTAAAAAGGAAAAAGAGGACGCCGACCTCGCTCGGGGGCAGAGTGGCCTGCAAGACAGAGAGGGGCCTAGCTAGCGAACCTTCTTCTCATGGTGATGGTGCTCCTCTGGACTCAACAGCGTCCAGGTTGTCAGGCCTACACAGCCGACTGCGGCACCAATGGAAATTGTTCGCCACTTGGACATCTCAGCTGTAATACCACACAAGCTTTGCATGTTCAGATTCAGGAGTTCGCAATACTGCTCCCAACCGTTGGTGGTGCTTGATCCTGACGCATGGCAACAAGGTCCAATAGACCCCTGTCCATGACCAGCCAAAAGCTTCATGCGGGAGAGTTACAAGTGGCTTGCAGAATGGTTCTGCAGATCAAGTAGCCCGGAAAGAAGGCCAAAGTCATACAGGAATATCCATGTCATGTTGCTAGTCAAAAGCAGGGGCTTAAGTAGGCTGCCAGATTCATCGCAAGCCCAAGCTGCTGCACATACATAAACGCTGTGTTTGACGAACATTAACAACATTACTGGTTTGCCATGCATATGGCAATCAACTTTAGGGTTCCGGACCAGAACAGATTCATCACAGCATTTCAGTGCGACGGCCCTACTTGAAAATCTTCTCTTGCAAGGACCACATTGAAGCCTCACATTTTGAGAAAAGAGGCATGCAAGTTGCTTTCATTACTTTCATACGCTGATCACAACTTGACTAATCGAAGCATGTAGACATTAGATTGCCTCCTGGAGACGAGTGAGTCTCACCGAGTGCCTCCTCCTGGGTTCCATGTCCAGCAGAAGCGCTGAAAGACCGTGTCCCGTTCACCGCCGCAGGCCGGGCAACGGACAACCTCCGAGCAAGCCCAGGAACCTGCTGCAACAAGCGAGACATGGCTGGAGAGGTAAGGGCACTTATCCCCAAAGCCTGCAAAGGATCGATGCAATTCCAGAATCTGAAGAGCTCCTCCTTGCTTGCGCTCCACTGCTTCACTCGAAAACGTTTTCTGCAGCAGATTCCGAGGGATTCTGGATGGAAATTCCGAGGCAATGCTGCATCTGGTCGACTGGTCGGGTGCCCTTCCCCGGTCCACTTTGAGGATTGTCGTGTATTTGTTCAAAGCCCGGGAGTACAACCGACTGGATTTCGGTTATTTGTGTGAAATGCTCTGAAGAGTCAAAAAATGATCAGGGGGCCCTCTTCACGTCAAGTTCTTGCATCCTCCCTTCTGCAATTTCTGGAGTTCAACATTTGAATTCAGCATTCAACAAAGTGCATTGCAGCAATTGACATGAGCAAGCTGCTGCCAGTTTGGCAGCGCTAATTTAGAGTCAGACACCCATCCTTGCTTCATGCTGAACAACCAGATATGGCCCAAACACAGATGTTAAGCAATGCCGCGACTGCCCATTGTCTCCATGGTGGTGCGTCAGCAAATGCGTCAACAATCAATCAGCGAACTCAAAGCAGAAGTTTAGCTTCGTCTCTCTTCTTTCTGTCTGTATACTCCTACGTCAAACCAACCACCAGCGTTTACTCTGCCCCTGTGCTCGAACACGAAAGGAGGACAGGACACAGAAATGGAGGGCGGCAATTGGCGCCTTTTCAGAGAAGAATCTGTTGTAATCAGCAAGGGTGGTTTGAATTCAGCACAGCTAGTGGGGGCAGAAAAGTGGATGGCGTCTCTGTTGGCGACTTCACCATTCTGAGCCACCTTCAGGTGAGTACTTGATTGGTTGCCAACAGTCACTGCCCTGCAAGACTCTGTAAAGGACTGGCCAAATTCAACACTCTTTGAAGATCCATCATGACACCACTCCGTAGTGAGCTCAAAAGGATCTGTGGAAACTCTCAGCTTCGCCCAAATTCTTCAGTGTCTTGACACAAGGTCGCACGACCTCATCAGAATACCAATCCTCTCCAGCATCATCTGGACCTGCTTTGGAAGTGCTGATTGCTCACAATTTTCATCGGCAGAAAGGCAGCCAATGGTGTCAGGCAGGAAGAACGTTTCCTCTGAAGGTGAGAGTTTCAGAGGAGGGAACTGCGACTCACAGTTCCGAAAGCTACATGTTGGAACTTACATAATGTACGTATCTTTGCAGACCCTGGGATGTGGAGATTTGAAGCGGAAGCCTCGGGAGGTGCACTTCAGCGGCTGCATCAACGAATCATATGCCTTTCGATGCACAGGGGGAGACTACTTCGTGAAGATCAACAGGCAGTTCGATGCTGCCAGCATGTTTGCTGGGGAAGCAGAAGCGTGAGGTCAATCTTGACCTTTTCAGCTTCTTCTCATGTAGTAAAAGAAAACAAACCAGAACTTGAGTCGAACGTTTCCCTCAGACCATGTGTCTTTACAACTTGAATCCTCTGTTTCTCCAGACGACCTATTCCAGAATTGAGAATTTTTTGGGAGTTTGTGTTCCTTTTGAGTTTGTGTGCCTTTGGTGACAGTATCATCGTCAGCACCAAGTTTGTCAAGCTGATTGAGTCGCAGGCGTTTCTGGACTGACCTCATGATCAAGTGACATTATATTGTCGAATTCCAGTCCCTTAGTTTCTCTGAGCTACATGGTGGAGAAGCAGGTCCCACCTTGAAGCATGACAAGCAACAGTGATTTATCAATCTTGGGATACATGGAGCCTCTGCTCGTTTCGAAACGAAGATAAGTGCATAAGGAGTCGGTATAGTATCAATACTACCACGTCGTAACAACCAATCAAGAAGAAAACTCCATACTGCGAGAGGGTGTAAGACCAGTTCTTCTCCACATGCAGGCTCAACGCCATGTTGGAAACAGAAAGCATCCGTGTTCCCAAGCCCTTGGGGGTAGGCAACCTCCCCGACGGTGGAGGATCTTACATCATTCTTGAGTACCTCAACTTCCAACCGTTTGGAATGGTGAGCTTTTAATTGGACACAACAGGCACCATCAGAAGTTCTGCTGGCAAGTCGTTCTTTGCAAACGCTTGGCTTTTAAAAGTCCTTTGCCTTCTTGAATCATAAAAGCACCTTTCTAGACGGTTGCTGAAGTAGCCGTTACGAAAAGCAGTCCAGATATTTGGCTCGGTTGAACGGGCTCAGCTGTCCATTAGTCTCCTGCTTGATACATGTCACGATAGTCATCTGAGCGCTCGGGTGAGTTTGACAATCGCTCGGGCATGACGGTCCAGATATATTTTTCCTTCGTCTTGTCCGTACAGATGCAACCGTCCAGTCAGGAGCAACTTGGACGGGCCCTGGCTCTCATGCACTCAGCCGAGCCCGAGTTTCGAGGATTCGGGCTTGCGCAAATCACGAGGTCAGTGAGTCCGTTTGAAATCTTGAACGCAGGTTGCTTGAGCGACTGGACAAGTGGGTCGATCCACCAAGGTTCAAAGCTTACAAGGTCGTCTTTTTCGTTTCGGTTCAACCTCAATCTTCCATCTTGGAGGTCCAGCCTTGCGTTTCGTGTATGACTTCCCTCTCAGAAACGTCTCATCCATTGGTGCAGTCGAAAGAGTTGAATAGAGAAAATTCGTGGAGGAGTCAAAGTCCCGAGCATGCCCTACGAAAGACGTAAAGTCGAGGCAATGTAGCAGCGGAGTTGGATACTATTGCCTTTCGCTGCTGTCTACCACCGTCATCTGCTCTATGTGATGCGTTCAAAGCTGAGGTTATTCCATGTCAGAAGCACACTTCAGCAGGTCAAATACTTATAGCTTCAGCTCCGCTTACTTCAATTGAGCTCGGTGGCTCCTCCAGGACCACTTTTCGTCTCTCGTTTGGCCTCCGTATTGTGATATCGCTTCTGGTCACATGGCGGAGCGTCACGATCTAGATCCTCGTTAACCTAGAGTGCCGCTGTTTTGTGCTGCAGGCTCGGAGTCCTGCCCCTAAGTAACGAACCGTCAGACAGCTGGTCAAAGTTCTTCTTAGAGAACAGGCTGCGAGATCGGCTAGAGGTGCGACGCTCGATCGTCTAGATTTGATGGACTCTTCTCTATCATCAGCCCCCGTCCCCACTGCCAATCGTCTGCTTTTATCTGCGATTTAAAAGTGTCGTGTACGTAGGTTGCTGTGTATGCTCAACCACGTGGTCTGCGTGTTTAGGTCATCATGTGAACTGCGCTTCATGGTACATTAAGCGTCGCGGACATTTCAAGCTCGATCTGCTCAATACAATTGTACGGCTGCCATCTATTCAATAACTCCGCCACTTCCTGTTTGCTCACAGCGTGCCATTGCGAAGCTCGGATCGGACGGCCAGGAGCTGGCCACGTGTCGAGAGGAGTTGCTCTCACGTGCCACGAAGATGCTCGACGCAGCGGACGTCCGCCCGAGCGTTCTTCACGGCGACCTGTGGGTCGGAAACTCTGGGCTCGTGCGGGGGGGAGGGGTCGCCGTCTTCGATCCCGCGGGCTACGTCGGCCACTCGGAATTTGGTAAAGTTCTGCGAGCCCGAATCCGCGTGATCATGTTCAATATCTGTACGGTTGGACTGATGTTTGTAATGTAAATCGGCGTCGTTTCAATTGAAGCGTTGAACGAAAGGTTTTCCTGTGGGTAAACCGGAAGCTCTGGGCTCGTGCGGGGTGGAGGCGTCGCCGTCTTTGACCCCGCGGGCTACGTTGGCCACTGGAGTTTGGTGATGTTCTGCAGACCGGAGTCTGGTTGATATTGAACGGCGGAAGTTTTCCCCTCAAACAAGAACGGCGTCGCTTTTCCGACTGGAAAAGTTTCCGCTCTGTAAACGTCAAGAAGCTCAGGTCATCATTGTGGCTCGAAAGTGTAAGAGTGCCTTTCGAAATAAGCGCCTCTGCTGTCGAGATGCTTCTCGCCAAGCAGAGTATTTGCATGTATTTCCTGCGAAGAAGCCCTTGCCAACATAGATCGACTGGCTAAGAAATTATGAGCAGAGTGATGCCCTTTTCGAGACTTTCTTCGCGGGTTTGGGACGCCGCAGCACTCGTCGTGGCTTGTAGTGCTAGTTCCAACCGTTGCGATACATGATTCTGCCCGTCCTTTCGCCCCGCAGACCTCGCCTTTCGCGGCTGGGAGCCAGTCAACGACTTCCCCGGATTTTGTAAGCCTCTTCCCTCAGTTGCCAGTTGTTGCCCTAGGTGGATAAAAGAAAAACAAGCTGTGCACACGTCCAGATCTTCTTTCCTCCCTGCGGACTTTTTTCTCCTCCGGCACAACACGTTTGTTAACGTTTACGACGGGTTCGTATGTTTTAGAAAACAGAAGCGCGGGCGTTAGCACACTTGACGCATGCCCTCCAGCGTCAGCTCCTGTGCCAGTCGCTTCCGCGGGTCTTCGAAAGCTGTGCAAAGGCCCGCGGCTCTCAAGCTTGTATTTACCGCAGCCCATTCATCTGCCTGCCTGACTTCAGAAGTATTCTCAGATCATGGGCAGTGTTTCTCTTGTGACCTGGGACCGAATGGGCATCTCTGCACCGTTGCCTGACAGAGTCTGGTCCCCTCTTTGTGCAAGCAGTCCCGTTCGAGAGGCTAGGAAACCTCGGTTATTTGCTCTAGGTTTATCTTGTGCGAGCAGTCCCGTTTGTGAGGTTGGAAAATGTCGGTTATCGGCCCTAAAGTTATCCGCACTAAGTCCAATTGTTCTTGGTCTGCAGCGGACGCGTTCTACGATGCCTACCATGCGGTCCTGCCCCAAGCACCCGGCTTCGAAGAGCGGCACCGCCTCTACCAGCTTTTCCACTTGCTCAACCACTTGCTCATATGTGAGTCGCTTCTCTCCTATTCGAGTAATGCGTTGTGTGATTGGAGTCTGGGAACGGTTCCGATGATCGAGTCTCTGGCAGTCATGCGAAAAGCAGTCGTCCTGTTAACCGCGAGGGTGATGGCGTTGACGAAAAAAGACGGAGCACTGACACTCGGTATGTCACCGTGCACTGGATGGGTGAGGCGATTGAGCTCATTATGCAACTGCAAAAATACACCAGGCCTTTTCTGGTGACCTGTTGACCTGGCGTTCTGGAAGGAGAAGTCACGGGTCTCGAAGTTTCGCGCTTATAAGTCTCAGTGGAAGACTCCATCTGAGCCTTATCAAGATCCAAGACTAATCTGCTCTTGTATTCTTGTCTGTCTCTATACTGTTCAGCGCCCTTTTCAAGACCGGTCTGGTATGGAAGATTAGTAACTCCAACCTTGAGGTAGCCGCTATTGTCCAGTTCTAGGGAATTGACAACAAGATTAGGAGATGTCAGACATAGCTCTAAACCTTTATACACGGAGCGGATTCTGGGATGAGTGGCCTTCTACTGCATTTGACGGTTCTCTGGCAATCTGCTCGTGCAGATGGCGTCGAATACTACCCGCACGTGATGGCACAAGTGCGCAAACTGGCGTAAAGGAGTTCTCTAAAGTAAGACTTGACCGCCACTGCCTCTTGAGCCGAGGCAGGTTGCCAGCATGAAGGCGGCATCAGAGCATACTGACTTGAAGCCCCCGTTCCCCCTGAATCGGTACATGTTATCTATTCCGCTTAAAGCTTGTTGTCAATCTCTCCCTTCGAACCAATCAAAGTGGTTAAACGGTTGTAACATCTCAGCAAGTGTACACTGTTGCCAATCGTTTTTTGCTTCTAAGTATGAGCGTCATCTCAGTATACCACCTCTTAATGACAAAGAGTACATTGTGATAGTACTCGACATTAATGATCAATTGCTAGCTGTCACAACATACATTCGATGTTGCGCATCTGTAAGTTGGTCCGGTCGATAAATGGGTAGGCTAGCGATGGTTTTATCGAGCCTGATACCTTGCACATACGTTTTTACTTCAGATGCATGGCATGGCGGCCAGATTGCCATGCTAAAGTGGAACTAGTCGCTGTAGCCTGTACGTACATATGTCGCATGCAGATTCGTCAAAATCCGAACATGGTCATGCACAGTGAATACTGTTGATCAATTTGATCATGATATATTTGTGTAGTCTAAGATTGCATGGCCGGATCGCCTGATGTTGATCTGTTGAAACATAAGGACGTCTATAGTAAGCTAGCTCACCTTCTAAGCAGGCGGCGCTGGCCCGGGGGTGGTCATGAGTCTTTGGCATGTACAGTCCAACTGCATAATCTTACGTCAGATCGACGATCCTCATTGAATCATGATGAACTTTGCTGCCGCTGCTGACCGGTTTGAGCAGTCTACGGTAGTCGGCAACCGCGTTTGAACAGTTACGGTCGGGACAGGTCATGACACGCTTTGGTAGGACAAATTCTGATCTGCATGCGATCCTCCGACGGCCTAGCTTTGAAAGACGATCATTCCGGTATTAGACTCACTCAGAGGCACAATCACACATTAGTACCTATGAGAAATATATGATACATGGCCAGCACATAGCATCTGGCAAGTCACTTGAAGTCCATTCCTACCTTGCACTATTGAAGGCATGGGCGTGGCCGCCCCGGCTTGAAAGTACCTATCATTGAGCCTCACTGAGTCAGCTAGGCTAGGCGTTCGCTGCTCTGGCCATCCCTCCCCAATGGACCCTCCGGGCCGACCACGATCCCGCTCTGCTCAGCAGCCGGATATAACCTTCGGGAATTGGGATTTCTTGTGGGTCAATGTGTCCCAAGTCTACATCAACGGTCTCGATCGCATCTCACCTCGTGTCAGAGGATCTATTCCTGAGGATGTGTTCTGCGTGTCAGACAATGTGAATACCCTCAGTACTGTTATCTACGATTCAGAGCTTTGTTGCGATGGTCACAGATTCCCTCATTTACACTCCCTTCTATTGACTATTCTTTGCTCCCGATAGTCATGCTCAAAATCGCCGCGGCCGGGCCGGGGAACATCTACCGGTTCATGACGTCAATTGGAAAAACCCTTCGAAACGCGGTCGGGTCTGGCACTCACGAGAGGCTGCGTGGCGGCCGGCCGGGCGGCCGGCGCGGCTATCATGCGATCACGCTCAGCTTGAACTTCTTCCGAAGTTTGAGCGGGCAACAAGCCACTATCCGGGCCGCTGATTAAAAACGGTCAGTGGTCCGCCAGCAGCATCTCAGCACTCTCTTCCTATTTCCATGGCTACTCAA